CCATGAATATAGACCTTCCTGTCTACTGACCGACAACTTTTACTTGTAATGGTTCTAAGATTTACACTGCATGTGGAAGTCTCGTGGTTTATGTTAAGGTCAGAAGGCATAGAGAGATGCTACTTCTACATTGCATTGGGGCTTAGATTATAGTTCTGTATAACGAGGCGCAATACAACATGAAAAAAACTTTGAAGTGCGTTTCATTAAGCTCCCCTTTCTGGACATTAGCGGCCTACGTATGTGCGTAGATGGGCGTGTTCCCCGATTGTTATATACCTAGTAGTCAAGCTGGACTGCCCGTGAATGCAATAAGAGAGTACCTGAATCATTGATGGGCTGTAGGTTTTTATATATAAACTATATAGAAGTTAGTATATATATTAGAATATAATATAAAGCCTACTAGCTTTAAATTTGAATTAATTAAATTTCCAACTTATTATTGTGATAATATAGCAATATTCGACGAATAAACTAGAAAGATATTTCTTCTATTCAATGGCTTAGTATCGTTTTCAAACACTAAGACCTATATTTTATATCAAATCGGTTTAAATAGGTTATTATTAGGTTATAGAGAGCGGAACCCAAAACCCAATGTGTTTAAGTGAGCTTATAAATCACTTTTGGTTGCAGCTTTTGCAAAAACTCAAATCAATTCGGCTGCTGTAGAACACCCAGGTTCCATTTAGCGTCGTTTGTGCCCCAGAATGCTACACGCGGGAACAGGTAGCAGTCCCTATAATCCGTAAAATCTTTAGTAAAAAGCTTCAGGGACTAAACGACTGTAAAGACTTGCTAGGAAAGTCCTTACCATACATTGGATGACCATTTGGACTTTTGAGGTCTTTTTCTACCACCATAGTTGATGGGTCTGATGATTCGGCTTTGAAGGTATTTTGGGACGTTGGCTTTGTCGGACAAGAGAAGGCTAAGGTCAATTCAGGCTTAGGCTCCCCTGGGATGTCCAGCGTGTACACGACACTGCCTTCAGTCCCTTCAAGTCCTGGTGCGTCTTTGAGGACAAATTGGAAGTGGGTATGTTTCGAAATGCCTGGTGGAGGTTCAACGAGCCACTTCGCCTTGTCATTTTTATGCTTTTCAGTAAGCATAAGTCCCGTGTTGCACTGGTTTTCCACGGTCACATAGCAACCAAAATCCGCGTTGGGATCAAAATCCATGGTAGCTGATTATATAAATGACTTGCTTCTGAATGAATTTTTCCGACGACTTTTTCTTGAGATTCTCAATTCAACTGAAGAACCCAGTCACTTTAATATAGATTTTTCTAGTGAGAAAGTTAAAGAATCTTTAGGAACTGAGGGAATCTAAGTGTCACCATGACCTCGAAAATAGATAGTGTTCAAGGTAATGACTTAATGAGACACTTTGTAAATTCCATTCTGTAGCAATGAACATCATTCACTAGAATGAAAATTCTATATGAAAGCCTAAATGAGTTCAGCCGTGCTTTACCAGTCTCCATCTCAAAAAGACTGGTCTGGACCTTTTCGAGGTGGCCAAAGTATCCAAAAGCGTAATCGACATTACTAGTATTTTACTCTACTGGGAGTTCCAGCTCCTGCTACAGGTCTGTAAACGATGCTTATTGCACTGGACTGAACCTGAAAGCGGACAACTATACATTGACACAAGGGTCATGATGAGAATCCATGATGTTGCTTTGAGTTCCGTTTAACCAATGAATGCAATGTGTCTGTCTTTAGAATTATTGTTAATTATTGTTTACACACTCCATAGAGCGCGGTGAATGCATTCGGAAATAGTGATAATAAATAGTGGAAATATTGGATTTCTGACTTTTCCCTTGAGTTAGAGAATCGGGAGAGACCAGGCCAGATTTGGAGTCTAAAAACTTTGAATATGGCATTAAATCTAGGCCTTAGAATGTTGCGGTTCTGTAGTGCCAGTACTTTTGGGCCGTACCGTACCACAGAATCGTGCGGTTCAGATACGGTTTAAACCACACTCTTTAGGATATCCTCACTGAAGTCTTCGCTAGTGAGATTAGACAACTGATCAGCAATAGCATACTGCAGCTGACCAGTACGGAGTTTGTCGCGCTCCCGCTTGGGTTGCTTCTCGTCGCTAACAGTCTCCACAAAAATGGTCTCTCACGGTTGGAAGCCACGATGAGGACACATGTAATTCATGGTTATTGATGTCATGACGCCTCAGTTCCAGATACTCGAGGATGGCCGGTAAGGAAAGCGAGATTTGATTAGCTTTGCTAAATAATGGATGAGAGGGCCTTAAATATGAGGGCTGATTAGGTGACTATGGGTTGAAGAGAATGACAATCATCGAGATTTAGTGAGAGAAAAGAAGGACCTGCTAAATAGCTATTAATGAAAAAGGGGTGGAAAGTCGAGGGACTGATCGGCAGGGGATGGATCAAATAGGGTTCGGGTACGGGAGTCAGGTGGGGAACTGGACAAATAGGGAGCAAACAAAGCTCAAAAAAGTGGAGACAGTCAAGTTTCGAGGAGAGGATTTGAAGCGACTGGTGTACCAAGTTGCCTTAGACTAATGGAATGCAGTGAGTCTCAGCCATGATGACCCGCATCCGTACTCTCCGATCATTAGCAAGGGGAGGTAGGAATGGGTATGAAGAAGAACATGACCAGAAAAACGGTGCCCTGCCCTAACTGCTGATGAACCACTCACCCACAGAAGCCCACCTTCAAAGCCCGAGGAGACTAGACAGACGAACAGACTGTACAGGGGAGGCCATTCTGATATGATAAACATCAGGGAGGAATCAGTGGATTTCCCATTGCCATGTCGACGGAATGGGATTTCATGCAGTGTGAACCCACGAGAGTAAAAGTAAAAATCACATTGAGTTTGCAGCACAGGAATTCCTACCGTAGCATGAAATGTGCTAGCAATACCTATCAAGGCTGTAAGATCGGACAACGAAGGAAATATTACCTGAGCCCACTAAATGTCTTGTCTTTTTATTGAAAAAAGAAAATCAAAACTCAAAAAGATACCTTATAAATAACTAATTCTTTCCTGGCCAGTAATTATGGAGATTCGCACAACTGCTAAAGAGAAGTATCGGTGCTGGCTAGGTAGATTTATTCCTCGGAAGATAGTCGGCGTGGCCACATATATCGAACAACCTCCCCCCCTTCATTATCACCAAAATGTGTTCTTAAGCTAAAGATACAGACACACAAACTCCTACATCGATAAGCAACACCATTACTAGGGTATAATAGCCGCATTGTGTTCCTCGATCAATATTCCTGTCTAGGTGCTTGCTTCAACCCTCTTCTACGAAAGGTTGAGCTAACAAAAATCCTAGCATATCCCGCTCGCTGCTACTAGGCTATCCAAAGCTTAGAGCATTGTCCATCTTGCTCCAGCACTGATCAATCTCATTGTTGGCCCTTGGACAATACATGGTTATTGCTCTATCAATCACATTTTGACTATTGGCACTCTAAACCCCGCAGTAACACCCCGATTACATCGCGTTCATTTTCAGCTAAACTAATATCCGACTCATTCTTTATAGCTAAAGCAAAGGGCACCATAATCAATCGCTCCCGGATTAGCAGGATGCGCGTTCGAGCTGTGGCACTACCGATCTCGCATAGATGGAGTAAGAGGGAGTCTTCTTTGCTTCGACCCCTCCCTGTCTTTCAGAAGTCAAATCCCGTACTGTTTAGCTTACATAGTAACGTTCTGAATTATGTGTATTTGTACGAGTACAATATTCCCTATCAGCAACTTACTAAACCGGCAAGACTATATAACCACTTAAATACACTACCACTGATACTTCCGTAAGTATTTCCCTTTACGAAATGAAAATGCAGGGCATGTCTGGTATGCTGTAACGTCATGGTACCGGCATAGCCCTCTATTCTTCTGAGAAGCCAAGGCATGTGTGTGGTAGTTGTATGAGGCGCAAGATTCTTTCTTGCACATTCCTAGAAGTCACGGTTTTGTAAAATATAGCTAGCTGTATCTCCGCGGGAGGTAGAATGCCATTGACGTGAACTAATATGGAGAAGAAGATACAACTGCGCACAACGTAGACATGTCAGTTTAATACTACTTCTAGAAGAACTTTTAGCTCAGTTTGACTGAATACAGTAGGTCTCTTAATTTCATAGTTACCACACCAGCAGAGTTGGATGTGTAACGGTAGGATCCCGCATGACCTTTTTTAAATAAAGGTTTTAGCGTATATTAGCAAGGATAAAAAGAATACAGCTTAGTAGAAATTCAAGGTTAGAGCTGGGAAACCGAGCATTTACAGTGGGCCGGCGAATAAGCCAGTTTACTAGCTAGTTTTCGTGTGCCTTTCTCCTTGTCCTTTGTCCTCTAGCACAAAATAGTTGGAGACCCAGCAAAGAAAGGCAGATATCCAAAATTCATAGGCACGCCCAGACTTCAGCCTGATGTATCTTTTTGACGCATAATGATCAAATATTGTACCGGGCTTCTTGGTCCAGCAACGGATATGGGACGAGAGTTTACTGTGTCCCTATTCCTATGCGTGCGATCTAGCAATGGCCTAGGGGCTAGAGTGTATATAAAGAGCGAAATCACTAATCACTAATGATTTCACCACTATTGCATGCAGCATCCGTGTCACCTGGATGCCAGCACGGGTTTGAATTAAGGTAAGGTGCTATGTCACCTCTACCGGAAGCAGTATTTGTCTAGATCTGAGGGCTTAATACGTATAGGAAATGCACGTCATTACTACTGCAAGCAGGACTGGTCACTACACCATTAGCTGTCTATAAATTGTTGTTAATATCAGCTCTGCTCCAGGATCGCTCGGCAACAATATCAGACAAGAATAGTGCGACATTATCAGTATCATCATTACCATCAAAGTCAGTCATAACCTCGAGCCAAAACTTACCTTTACCAGAAATTGTAAGACGTTATCTCCCCCATCAGATCTACTTCATTGTGTTACTAATCTACATCTTGGTTGGCGGTCTTAGATGTCTTATGAACAAGAAGCACCCGGATGGGTCAAAGGGGATGGGAACGGCAATTTCAGCTCCGAATTCACATTGCCCAACGGCGTCAGAAAGCAATTCAACGGCAAAATCTCATCAGCCGTTCCAGAATTTGTTGCAACTCTTTCCAAGGTTTCTTACGATAAGGAGGGCAGCCTATCTGGCGACTACAATTTCGACAAGGCTCTCGTGGGCGCAGCTACAATCTCCCTACCCCTAGAAGATGGTGTTGGAAAAGTTCATATTACGGGCAACCTTAATCCTTATCTGACCAAGGCCTATACTGCTACTGGATCTGGAACATGGAGTAGCACCTGATTCAAGCGCAACACCAACTTTCCCGATGAGATGTGGTTGGCGGTTAAAAGGACTGCTATGCTAAGAGAAAGTTTTACTTGGGAATACATTTGTTTGTTGTTTGTTGCTACTGGATGTCCCGGTATGGGTTTTCGCCTACACCCCTAGGTTTTCCCTATATCCCTTCGTGCGAATGCAGAGACAGTTTATTATTTAGTACAGAGTCCAGATTCTGCTGGTTTGCCTATGAAAAGAAAATCATAGTTGTAAAATTGTAATAACTGTCCTGATTCTATTCTCGACCATCCCTGGCAGGTACTTCGTACATGGATTTAGAATGGTCTGATTGGCTCTCGGAGAGTGGGGCAAGTTTAGATATATACCTGGGCTTCAGATAATTCAATCCCCACCCAGCCGGCCAGCCTATCCAAAATGCGTCTATGAAGGGGCGAATGGCTAGAAGGGGGCACTAAGCCGGCAATATAGCGAGAAGGTAAGATGAAGGTAGTCTGGAGGTGGCGACCTGTCTAGGCTTCCGCAAACCCTAACTTTGGGCCAACTTTGGGCCCAGACCCCGGGCGCAAAGCCCACTGTAGGCTAGGGGTCGAACCATTGGACCTTGATGCTAACCCCTACCTAGCCTATCATTGGCCCCTATTGGGCCCCTACGAAAGTCTATGATTATATAAAAACCCTATCTTAAGCGTTTATAAATCCACTGAGTTATCAAAAGTTCATATCTGTTCTGGTTTATCTATTAAATACTAATAAAAATCGAGTTTTATTATCTTATAGTGGTATTATATTAATTTGGGCATTTATCAATAAAGAAGTCTAAAGATATATATTTGAATAGAGGGGAGAGCCTAAAATTAAAGCCTAAAGCCTATTGTTGGCCTAAGAATCGGGCCGAAAGCCTAACCGATTTTTGGGTTTGGGCTTTGTAGGTAGGCTCTGCGAAAGCCTAACTTTGACCCAGTATAGGTTCCAAGTTTCTGCTGAAGCTTAGGTTACAGAAGGCGGAACCTAAACCTAACCTATTTTTACGCCGGATGCTCCGACTTAAAATACGTTCTGCCGAAGTCTAAACGTAAGTGGTCCTTCACTAATAATAGTAATATTTGCTTCGCTTCGCTCACTAAAATGCCGGTTCATATATTATGCTGCCGAGGAAGGTGAATGTCAGATTAATTTAAGAGAGTGTAGTAGCACAGCTGATTTCCAATATTGCTTTAGGTGCCAATGCTCCTAAGAGAAGGTAGGGGTTTCAGCAAGAAAACATGCTTGAAAAGTATCTCTTCGGCTGTGAAGCATAACAAAGGCCCGTACCATGGGGTCATGAGTAAATTTTGCCCACACTTTCCCCGTCACCCAAATGAAATCATTTACCTAGGTAATTCTTGAGCCAAATTCCACCCGTATAGACATTTGTTCGCATATAGACATTGTCATCGGCATTATGAGCCTTGCAAATAGGAATAATATAGACAGCGTTGCTCCCCTTGGGCATAGATTTAGCCACCTTTCCCGTGATGACATGCCCCCCGATTATGTTCGCCAAGTTGCTATCATTGCATTTGTATTTAGAGCCAGACGCCCAATCGTGGGAGGTGCACTCATCCGGCGAACCATAATAATCCTGCCACAGCGTCTTCCACGGCAGGTTTTGGATTTTTGGGTCCGGGGTTGAACCAATCACGTTGGCTATATGTTCGTTGACAGAGAAGGTTACCTCTCCGCCCCAGGTCGACTCAAGAACATTCACCATATTTGTGCCATCAGGGTACTCTCTGGTTGGATCATGAGGTCCCAAATCTGTGCCATCCGTAGCGGTCATTGTGGTCCAGTTCCTCATATCCTCGGCTGTTTTAAGGGCCGGTGGTGGGGTATGGACGCGGACCACGGGGAAGGCTCCTCTGGCTGCCGCAAGAATGCGGTCATTGGTACCCCGAATACTGAGTTGTAGTGCATCCAGCAGTCCCGGGCTGTATTGGTCTGAAAAAGTCCAGTTCAGGTTACTGCCGGAAGGGCGGATGTCACTTCGGTAGGTATGCTGTTGGCACACGTCGTTGGTACTCGCAGCCCTGCTTAGCAAGCAGGTAGAATCGGAAGTTGACTCAAAGTCATTGCCGTAAAGTTCCAGCACCTCGCCAACAGCATCATAAGAGTAGGAAATTCGAATCGCGGCTTCCAGCCGCGGGTCGGCGAAGTGTGTCAGGTTACCAACCTGTTGGAAAGGACTTGTGTACGTATGACTGCCTTGTTGAATATCAATCGACAGATTGATATTTCTCGGATTGATAATGACAATTTGCTGGTAGGCACTGTTGTAGGCGGGCGTCAAAGGCACTGTCACATTAAGCATAGGCATATTGTGTCGGAAACTGGGAAACTGAAGCAGCTAATGTTTGAGCGTTGTGCAATAGATCACCAAAGAAAATTTCCTAATAGTTGGTTCATGCAAGAAATCGAATCACCAGATCGGGTCCCCTTATATATGCCTCTAGCCCTACTTTCCCGCACACCGGAGCAAAACATCGCCACTGCCAGGTAATGCATTCTGAAGACTGAGTGGTTAACCACGGGTATAGTCATTCAATGTTCTATACACGGTGCGCCACCGAGGCTGGTGGTTAAATGCGGGAATGTCCAAGCACATCATGTAGGTTGATGTAGAGGACCAGCCTAGAATTCCGCGCACTTCGCGGTAAACTATACGCACCCAACCAAATTTAAAAGTTAAGAATTTGGTACATAACAACATCCGGTGGAGATCAGCTCGTAGTTACTAGTACTGACGTAGATGATAGTGCTAATGCGGAAGTGTCTACGTATATTATAAAGAAATGATGTGGAGGACTAGCCTAGAATTCTATGCACGCAACGATAAACCATGCATGACAACATCCGGTGGCAACCAGATCGTAGTTGGTACTGCCAACATAGATGAATGATAGTGCTGAATGCGGACATGCTCAAGTGTACTATGTAGGGATGGCTTGAGCTGGGTGATCTAACTGTACATGTTTGGCGGAATGGTGACGTTTAGCCTGGCTGATTACTGAAATAACCGCTGGGCAGTTTTGGTAAGGCAACGAACGCCTTCCTTGGGTACTGTAAGGGTGGTGATGGGGGGTTATAGGTATAACTTGCTGAAGGGCCCGATGGGCCTGTTGGAAAGGCTAAAGGGCCTTGCCTCGAATACATACGAGCGGATGTCGTTGCTTGTACGCGGGCTTTTCTAGTACAGCTGAGCGGACGGGCACCCTTGCTTTCAGCACCTTATGATTGTGTGTGCGTGATAATACACCGAGAGACTGATAGAATGATAAATGCAACCTATGTGGTGAGTGGTGGAAAGGTGACCCCTAGTTATGACCTCTTATTAGAGGAGAGAGAGCCAAGTAACAATCTAAGTCATAAATGAACATATCAAAGGCTACACTTAGAAAAGTCCAATATACGAAGCCTTTTTCCAATTTTCCTTTCCGTCGACCTATCTGAATAGAATGAAACGTATCTGAGGAGACTGCTAAAGATACCACTGGAAGGACTACTCAAAAGACTGTTAGGATATCGTCCCTGCTGATTGTTAGCTCAGTTTAGACTGAGATTTTGATTTGTTAATTCCCAGTTTGTTTAAACTGTTTGGACGAGGAATCTCTGCTGTGTGGTGTTAATAAACCAGGGTTTCCCAAATGCTGTGGCACCTGTATGTACTGGAAAGGGCGCCAAGTATACGATCCTCCAGCAAGGCAAAACCCAGTCAGTCAGTGTGTCCAACCCAGGAGTCTATGGTGATGTGGCCAATCTTCCTCGAAAGTTTTCCCAAGTCTTCTTCGACTCTCGCCAAGATTCAACTGTTCGCGTAGGCTACCACGACTACAACTCTACCGATAGGCAGGGCTGGACCTTAAGATGACAAGACTATCATATTGTTCTGTTTTACTCTTAGTATATCATATGAGATTCGAAGTTCTGGCTCTTCCACGATCTGCTAACAGTGCGCTTTGGTTCCGCCCAACTGTTCCCCCTCAGCTTCGAGTGCTTCTCTCTGGCGGCACACCTTTCGCTTCGTACCAGCAATAATGCTATCCAGTCCAACCAAAACTCAGCATTTCTTCGCGGGCATATTCCCCTCGTGTGGTTAGTGTTTCTCTTCTGTGTCTTGGTGGGTCGTTTTGATACACACCCGGTGCTTGTATAGGCTCGCAGCGTTTCGTTTAATTTAACCACAAGTCATTAGTGCAGTATGAGTGCCCAGGAACTAAGAATGCATGTATTTACGCAGTACAGTACTTCCAGAAATTGGTACCACCGCCTACACATTTCGATCGTCTCCCAAACCTTAATGATAGCCTCACCGGTCCATGGAATAGCTCCGGATAAAATGATATTTCCCAAACATTTGTTTGAGGCTCCCTGAATCACAGGCCGTGACACATGCCAACTCTGGCAAATGTAGATAGCTGCACCTTTTCCACCTTAGTATTTCTTACACACTTCTTAATTCCATACAATTCAACATATTGTATTCACATTGACAATCTATTCTACCTGCCAGATCCTATCAACATGATCCATACAGTACTTTTCATGAAAAGTTACACCGTATCATTGGCAGCTTGGAGGCGGAATATCATCATAACGCATTTTCTACTACGTGGATTATCATATACAAAGAAGCGCAGCCGAAATATTAGTTAGACAAATCTGGCGCTAGGAGACATGTATATCTATTACACTCTAAAATTTAATTTTCAGCACAACTCTATGCTACTATCTACACCTGGAGGTGCATTGCCATAGGGTCCATCTGGGCGTTAATATCGGTACCGTGATCGAGCAGGATTTGGACCACCTCTTTGTATCCTCCACTTAATATAGTTTGAAGTGCTCTACTACCACTCTAGGCGTTCGCATTAGTACCATAAGTGAGTAGGATTTGGACCACCTCTTTATGGTCTTCACCTAATCCAGCTCAAAGTGCACTACTATAGTATACATCTAGGTCTTTGAATATGACTAATAGATCAGAGAACTTCCTGAAACCCTAGGCTATTCTTCAAAATTAATCATATGATGCTCAGTGAGCGGGTTTAACGATTACATATGTTGTACGGAGTACACTCAGGAGCGTGCTCAGCTTTACTCGGTGAGCAAAAAGCGGCAAGGAGTGAGCACTAAAACGGAAAGGAAAACCCATCGGCATTATGTTGTAGTAAAAAGTTCAGCACCTCAACATAGACAGCCCACTTACTATAATATTTGAATTCGATGACTGGGTATTCCTTTTTGATAAGGTATCCTTCTTCCACAGTGATTCGATCGTTCTTACCTGATCATCATGATGCGTGGTTTTGGATGAGTTTGCCGCACTCACGCTTTATGGAGAGCTGGGGGCTGGGGATGTCTCCACGTGAGACTACGGAGTATAATGAAATTTGACGTTAATCTTTTCCTTTTAGGGATTGACTCCAAGAGTTACCTGACCCAAGGGGGGATGGCTTCTTTACATCTCCTTGAGGATATAACAGCATGGATATTGTCGCAATTGCCCGTACATTTGGGGGTGGGATTTCACAATTCGCCTTGGCTATTCATAACATCCGCAAAGGGACAACTTCACCCGATGATCGCCCATTTCTCGCCAGCACAGCCCCACATAGCCTCATGCAGGCTACATGTCAATAGGGGGCCAAGAGGGAAATAAGCCGCCTTGCAGATCACGGCCGTAATATTAATGGCAGTCTGCTCCTTGTACTCCGTACACTTACACCTTTCGTGATACATATGTGTTTTCGAAATGGACCCGAACCAAGGACCAGAGTCACCTGTGTCTCGTGTACATTCAAATGAGGCTCAAAATGCAGAGGCTAACACGCCCGCACAATCGCCCACACAGTCGCCTAGGATCCTCCCGGTTCAGCCTCATCCCGAGCCAGCAAACGAACCTCTTGTATCAGCAGATAATATTATAAATGCACAAAAACCAACCATATGGAACATTATCTCGGACTTGTTTATCTGGGAGATATTGGCCATGGTATTATCATCGGCGCTTCTAGTCGCGATCGTTGTGATCTTGATACATTACGATGATCGTCCTCAACCAACCTGGAAGTTGTCACTGAACTCGTTAATCTCCTGGTTAAGCACTGTCTCGAAAGGATGTGTCTTATTCTCTATCACCGAGGGAATAGGACAGCTGAAGTGGGTGTGGTTCACACGAAAGAGCCGACCTTTGGTTGATCTGAGTATCTTCGATGGGGCCAGTCGGGGGCCATATGGTTGTGCAGGGTTGGTTTGGAGACTACGAGCAAGGTATGTGTCTTCGTGGTCTCATATTGACTAGGAACTTATGAAATGTAGACACTTTGCAGCCCTAGGCAGTGGAGCCGTCATCCTCGCCATTGCCTTCGACCCTTTTGTCCAAAATTTGATCCACTACTACCCTAAACTCGTTGTTGATCCCACAGGGACTGCAATCGTGTCGAGCAACTCTATATACGACGCATTGGGTCCTCCAATGAACATTGGTAAGATAACGAGAAGGATTCCTTGAATCTGGATGCCACTAACCCAAGTGTTCAGTGGGGTACTATCTTGATCCGGCAATGAAAGCCAATATCTACAATTCTCTATTCAACAGCGACTCATCGAAGCCATGGTCTACCCCGAGGTACACCTGCAGCTCAGGAAACTGTACCTGGGATCCAATTACTACAATGGAAATGAGGGCGAGTTGCACAGACATAACAGATCGACTGGTAACCGAATGTTATAATGGTACAGACGGCCGGAGACAGAATACCACTCAGCGGAGTTGCTCTTATTATTTTCAACCTTCCAGTAGCGATATCCGCGCGGATACTCGCATAGGCCGTCTCTGGGGCACACCATTCGTTATAGGGCCAGTCCCTCCAGGACCCTCGGCGCGGCCTTTCATCTACACAGAGAGCATATCAACTCCTATCCAACTTATCGCCCCGGATAATCTGCCAACAAGTGAAATAATATTCTCAGCTAGCGATTTCATACCTAAATGGCAGGCAATGGAATGCAGCATTGATCCAATTGTGCGCAGCTTTCGCGCAAAGGTCTCTCGGGGACTCTATCACGAAGAAACCCTGGCCATCTCAAATAACGGATCTTTTCCGCCGGGCCGCCAAGACGATAAGTACTCCCTGTATCCCCCCTGGGGACCAGAGATGGGAGTTGGGGAAAACAAGGAGTTTGTTATAGGGAAGCGGTCGCTCAAAGCGATACAGCTCTTTTTTCAAAGCTTCTTTTCCGGCGAAGCGCAGCTCAATCCTCAGGGCTTCATGCCAGATTCTAATTCGAGCACATACGCGAATCAGGATTTGATACAGCTTCTCACACTTGCAAACATCACTGATTGCACTGGTGGGATGGCCAAGAAGATGCACTGTGCTATGGATAATGTCGCCGCAGCAATGACAAAGGCAATTCGGGACACGCCGTCAAGGTCAAATCTTAGCACTGTTGCTACGGGCCACGCAATGACCAGCATGACACACGTTTCCATCCATTGGCAGTGGATCGTTCTTCCGATACTAGTGTGGTTATTGGGCCTTGTCACATTATTAGGCACCATTTGGAAGACGCGGAAAGCTATGGTTCCCACATGGAAGAATGAGACGATGCCACTCATATCCCTATATAGAAATGGTCACAATGAGAAGCCTAAAAGCGATGAAGTGTCGGAGACTGAGAGAGTGAAGTTATACAAAAGTGAGGGCAAATTTGCGCTGTCAGGGTAGTTTTATAGGATAAAGAGAGCATGGATGTTTGGATTATTCAATAATATATGAGCAATGGATGAGATGACTGGAAAAGAAGGATAGACAGGTGTATGGTGGAATAAAGATGTGGATATACGGATATGATAATACTACTATGCATACACAGTACTGCCAATGGGAAGACAGACTTGGAATATAATATGCAGGGTTGTGGTCACATGCTACGGTAACCCCGAGAGCAAAATAGGGCAAGAGCAAAGGGCCATCCATTTTAGGAAGGTACGTGGGTGTATAAAAAGATTCCTCCCACCTTTCTTCCGCTTCTCTTCTTCCTCTCCCCAATCCTCCCTGTCTCACCGTAGCCCACCGAGGCAGCGCAGAGGGTGGTCCTCGAAAGACATCAACACCAAGTTGTTGAGGCCTTCGAAGGTCCGAATACAAATCAAATTGCCAGTTCTCGTGCGAGTCCTGATCAGTTGGTGACTGAACTCCAAAAGTTCGGTAGTCACTGGCAGATCCCACGGAATACATGGGGGGTGGTTGGTCACATCCTCTTTCATTGTACACCTAGTCAGCTACATGTAGTCATCTGAGTACACTTGAAAGAAATTTGATTTGGTCATGTAGATTGTTTGTTTTACTGTACATATGTATCGTGGCAGTGATGCCGTGTCAAGACAACAATTTCAAATATTGGCATACAACGTGCCATCCCGTAGCTCGTGAACACTGCTGTTTCGACTGTTTGGAGACCCGACCTCGGTATAACGAGTGCCATCCCGCAGCTCATGGATAGTGACTCTGCGATTACTCTTGCGCTTACGCTGGGATCCTCGTCTGGAATCCGGGCTCCCTGACTCACTTGGTACTTGACTGCTTGGTGTCAAATCGCGCTCTTGGCTGTCTCTCGCGATAGCTTCCTGGAGCATACGGTCTGCGATCCTATCAAAACCAACTTCCTCATACCATCGACGTAGTCCAGACGCGTAGGCACGTTCCTGGGACCCATATTCCACAGGGGGTCCATTTACCTCGGCATCAGGACCAGATCCGTCGAATACGGCCCATGCGCTGGACTCCACACTGACAAGCATGACCGTGTGATCAAAGCTCCGAACCTTGAAGTTGCGTAAGAGTACGGCGGTACCTTGAACCAAGGACGGCATTGAGCTCTTGTGGCGCCGGAAAATCTGAGCACGAAGAGTCGTGCCAGCCATTGAGGGATCGGTAAGCTGAATGGTCACGAACCAGTCTTTCGAGCCAGATTTGGCTCGGGCTATTGGCGAAGCCTCGTGCACGATTGATATGGTATCGACTAAGTTATCGTAATGGTCGATGAGTGTAGCAAGCGGGGCGAAGTAAGAAAGCTTGCTGCGGAGTCCAGATGCATTACGGTCAGGGACTGGGTATTGTCCGACGGGGGCTGCTGGTCCTTTGGGGGATTCAGTGTTGATCACAACCTCCACAGCGCGGGTAGGTTCGGGCGTTCTTCGAGGTTTCGCAGCTTCAGCGAGTTGCGAAGTAGTCTCGGCATCACAATGTCCGTCAACGTACATCGCTTGTTCGATCTCTTTTGTGAGTTCTGTGCCGACATCATCATTTCTGTCTGACTTTGGGGAGCTAGCAGTCTGCGACATTCTATCCAGACCAGTATGAGCTTCGCTTTCCTCGATCGTGAATGAAATTCCAGGTTCAATTTCAGATTCAACATCGAAAACCAATTCACGTGCGGATGTATTTTCCTGCGTGGGGTCTGGGGTCAGAAGTTGTCGCTCGACTGGAGGCATAATCGACGGCGAGGCTCGACCTCCAAGGAGCTCAGGTCCTTCGACAGTCGGTTCATGCGTCAACGGAAAATCGTCCATAAGATTTCCAGTAGACGAAGGAATATGCAAATCAGAGTATCGATCCGCATCGAGAGACTGCCCAGCATGACTTTCCATTTCCAATGATCGGCCTTGAGGATGAGATTGAGGAATATCAAGCAAATTTGGATCAACATTCCCCAATTGCCCCTCCTCCTCCTCCTCCTCCTCCTCCTCCTCCTCCTCCGTCTCTCGATCAACGGCCACTTCTATCTGTGCGTCAGGCTCGGCCGCAGCATCATCAGACTCGTCGCTGCCCGCTTCTTCAATAAGCCCGACATCTTCCATTTCTTCATCTTCACCCTCGGTAGGGTTTGGTGACACCATTTCCGAGGAAGGGCCTTGAGGATGAGACTCAGGCGTATCAGGCAAATTTGGATCAACATTGCCTGGCTGCTCCTCGTCGGCGGCACGATCAACTGCCAATTCCACCTGTGCGTCCACATTGGCCGCAGCGTAAGACTCGTCGTTGTCAGCTCCTTCGATGAGCTCCGCGTCTTCCATTTCATTATCTTGGTCCTCATCAGGGTTGGGTGATGAAGTTTCGGACGGATGGTCCGTTGGATAGTGCTCTGGGGTCGACTCGTCATCCTCCATATCACTCTCGTGAACGCGGTCATCTTGTCGACTGTATTCATGTTGTTCAATTTCTTCACTCTCCTCGCTTTCATCGATATCGAAATCTTCTTCCACAGCTCCGCGATAGCCACTCTCTCCGTCAACATACCATGGCTCTGGATATTCCTGCACACCCGATGCAGAATTGGCTGTACCTGGAGAGACAACCGGGAGTCCGGATTCCACGCGGTATGAGGGATCATCTCGTTCTGCTGATTGCGAAGCTGAGGCCACTGGATGATTGGAGGCAGGTTCATCATCACTGTCACTGTCCAGGACGATTACTTCATGGTCTCCCGTCTGCGAAGGCCGGTGCTGTTGTTCCTGCTCGACCCTCTCATCACTGGATTCAAGGCTGAAGTCATCTTCGTCCTCTTCAAGTTCCTCTTCCTCTTCCTCTTCCTCGTCACATTCATTGTGTGAATCGTAATTTTCCACGGACTCCGCATAGTACACTTCATCTTTCTCCTCACTGTATCCTTGACCGGGGGAGCGAGTGAAAGCACCTGCCGCCACAGATGAACCCTCGGGATCTTCCTCATTTTCTTGTTCCTCTTCCATATCTCTCTTCTTTTGTTTTTCCTTCTCTCGCATGACTATCATTTGCCCGAGGGCGGCGATCGCATCCTGATCAAAGGCGGAGGCTGATTGATTTGGGTGGAAATGTTCCTCATCATAAGGTCCACCAGAATGTTGAAGAGAGTCCACATTGTCGTTGGCCGTTTCCATGCCAAGATCAGCTTTAGCGTCTAATCTATCGATAACTTGTGGAGATTCGAGTGGTTCATTTTCCGGTTCCTCACCTGAACGCGAAGGTGATGCTGAATCATCGCGCCATAGATAACTAACATCGATGATACGTTCATGTTCTGTTTGAGCTTCATCGGTGGCATTTTCGGTACCGATATCACCTTGAGCGGCAGCTGGTTCACCTTCCGAGACTGAAAGGGATGCTGGACGGTCCCGGGATATGTGAACATCATCAGAAGCATGGCTCTGCTGTGCTTCAGTTGATACTTGAGCTTCGTCGCCGGTAGGATTGAGGATCACCTCAGCTTTAATGACATCTGATCCATGAATAGCTCCAGTGTCGATTATTTCAACTTCCCGCGCTTCCGGCAAACCTTCTGAGTCTAGATGTGATGCCACATCATCGCGGAAGATGAAACCGGCATCCAAGACATGTTCCTGCTGGATGGGTTCAATATCTGGACCAAGGTCTTCCACTGTCTCTCCTGGAATGGGATCGGTGGCGTCTGTATCATGAATCTCAATGGAGGGTTCTTCGGGGGTTTCTATGGTGCATGTTTCCGCAGGAACAGATCGAACGTCTTCAGGCTGCGTGGGCGGCGTCCATGGCAGGAAATAGCCGGCGGGGCCAGAATTATTAGATATAAGCGGGGAAGGGATCGGGAGCCCTGGAGAAGGGATCGGTCGAATTTGCGGTGTGGCTACTGGCAGATGCAAAGGAGTTCCTTGATTATCAACCGGTTCATGAGACGAAACATTAGTCAATTCAAGGGAAGGCTTTGCAAATGCCGGAAGTGGTTCTTGCGGCGCATCATCCGTGTGTGTTGGAGCTTCGGCAGCATCCGTCATTGGATGGTCTGAAGTCTCACTCGCCGACTCTGCCGCGTCGAGCTCTTGGTCGATAGATTGATTCAAAGCCTGTTCCCAATCCACTGGCGCTTCTTGTTCATGGGGGCTTTCTGGTTCATTCAGAACACGCCAATCTTCCCTGCGCAAGCTGTACCTTAGTTTTTTTCTTCCTTTCCCCGGCACAAATCCATCTTCTTCCACGAAAGGATCAAAAGCGGGACGGATGGTTCCTCCGAGTGAAGTTCGAGGAGACCTGAATACTGGCGACCCCCATGGGCGTGCACTAGAAGGCAGGTCGAGTTCTGCATTGATCAACTTCCCAGTAGGAGTTGTAGGCGGTGCAAGTTCGGTTTCAGGCGGTGCTGTCACTTTCGGCTCAACCGATATAATCAACGGGGGTTGGGAGGGTCGGTAGATCTAGATGGACGGGAGTCAGTTTCTGCAAGCTACAGATCAAGTTTCGGAGCAACATACCTCGAGAGACCCGCCATTCTCAAAGTGCGCATCCCACGCGACAGACCTTCCCGGGGTTTGGCTGGCGCCTTCATTGCCGACAAACTTGGTGTCTTTCAAGGCCAGACACACATTATCCCCAATTCCGACATGCGATGCCGCGACCTTCTCCGCGAGGTGTCCATGAAAGGTGACCTTGATTTGTCCTTTAGCGCCCCTCAAGCGGAAATCCGGCTCTGCTAACAGAAGGCTGATAGCCTTGGTCGAAGATGAGTATGGCCACACCAGTGCCACAGTTGCAAGAAATGAACTTTCGGCCAATTGCTCGAGGTCGGGAGAAATGTGAGCTATCGGAACCCTGGTTAAATGCGCCAGCGCATTTGACGCTGGAGGCTGTTTGGGAGACTGGTCGATCGCATTCATTGCGCCGATTTTCCACGCCGGACTGTTGTTATGTCAAGCTGTCAACATATCAAACTGGAAGAATAGCTGAGATAAGATGAAAGGGAAGAATAAGCGAGTAAAGAAGACCCGGGGGCTGAAAGGAAATGCAGAGAAATTGTTCGGGTACAACAAAGACGTGATAAGCTGAAGCTCTGTCGGGTAATGCAACAGTAACATGACTGTAATAAGTGGAGGATAGGTGTGTAATTAACGTATTGCAGATACAAATATTACCCCCTTCATTGGATTTTCCATAAACTTGCTAATTGTGGATTTTATTGTATAGAGCTGCATTCGAATATGAATAGCTTGAAAATATCTCTATATTGTGAATGCTTCACATTTTAAGGTCTCTAAGCTAAGATATATTGTATGAGACATCAGCTATGAGGCACCTGGGCACATAGCTCCACTATGGTGAAAGCGCTTGGCATCCCCCGAGGCCACTTCTATCTCGTAACCCAACTCGTATTTCAACTACATATATTGCGTTATCTCTCGAGTGCTCATTGAAAGCATGACAATCACAAATACCATTCGTCGAGTAGCTGTCATCGGCGCAGGGCCCTCTGGCCTTGCTGCAGTCAAGTAAGTGGGGTTACATACTCGCGCCGAACACAACATGCTAACTGACTCAGATACCTGCTAGCCGAGAAATGTTTCGATCAAATTGAGGTCTTCGAGCAAAGGAGCTCCGTTGGAGGAGTTTGGAATTATACGCCAAGTTCCGTGAAAAAAGGAATGTCAACAACTGTCCCGCATTTAACCCCTCATGAGCCAGCCGAGAAGCCAGTGTGGATCAATACTACCGAAGGGCGCGAGGCAACATTTGTGTCTCCGCTATACGACCGATTGGAGACCAATATCCCCAAGGAATTAATGCGCTATTCGGATAAGGCATTTCCATTGGACGCCCAGCTCTTCCCCAAACACCGGACAGTGAAACAATATCTTGAAGAATATGCCGAAGATATCAAAAGCTTTATTCAATTTGAGACGCAAGTCTTAGATGTGAAACTCGAAGATGAAAGTCTAAAAACCTGGAGTCTAACGGCGAAGAGTCTCCGAACTGGCATCGACACAACCCACATTTATGATGCTGTGGTGGTTGCAAGCGGTCATTTCACGGTCCCTTATTTACCAGATATCCCAGGAATACAAGCCTGGGATGCATCACACCCAGGTGTTATCTCTCATTCCAAGTTTTACAACTCACCAGAACCTTTTCAAGGAAAGAAAGTGGTTGTGGTAGGAAGTTCTGCCTCGGGGCTTGACATTGGTGCCCAGATAAACGAAGTAAGCCAGGGAAAAGTGTTGGTCTCCCAACGATCTGAATCCTACTTGGCTGCACCCCCTAATGGCGATAAAATCATATGCCCGGAGATAGTCGAGTTTCTTCCGCCAGCCTATGATAGAGGTATAAAATTTGCGGATGGTCGCATTGAGGAACACATCGACGCCATTGTTTTTTGCACTGGCTATTTCTATTCATATCCTTTCCTGTCTTCACTCAATCCACCCGTTGTGACCCATGGGTGGCGTACAATGAATGTCTACCAGCAGTTATTTTATATTGAGCACCCTACCCTCGTCTTCCCAGTGCTTTCCCAGCGAGTTATTCCGTTCCCGATGGCTGAGAACCATGCTGCTGTCTTCTCCCGTGTATGGTCCGGACGGCTTACACTTCCACCAAAGGATGAGATGAAAATATGGGAAAATTCCGAAATTGATGCCAAAGGAGATGGAAAGGAGTTCCACCTGCTTCCATTCCCCATGGATGCTGACTATCTGAATTTTCTTTACAATTGGGCGGAAAAGGCTAGCCCACGACCTGGACTGTCCAACAATGGACAAGGCAAACTTGGCACTCGATGGGGTGAGCGAGAAAGATGGATGCGGGCCCATTTCCCAGATATAAGGCGCGCCTTTGTCCAGCGAGATAACGAGCGGAGTGAGATCAAGAATCTAGCAGAGCTTGGTTTCAGCTTCGAGGAGTGGAAGAAGCAACAAGATAATCAGTCATGATTATTGTACAAGTTCACATCTCAACCTGTACATACAACATTCTTAGTGACTTTAAATCAATTAGAAATAGAATAGTTTTGCATCTTTGAATTATTATATAGATCCATAAGCCTATACCCGTTGGCCAGTATGTCACTATTCCCATAGATCTACCGCCGATAAGCGTTATCACGTGAAGCGGGTTCACTATCCGTCCGTCCGTCGCGCCGTACATTTACCTTCTTTCATATACCGTCGCAGTGTTTTGGGGAAGTGTTAGATGTTGCCCAGAATTGAAAATTGTATGTGTCACGGATCAATGCAGCTTATATGAGCTTCTCTTGAGTATTGAACCTACACCCTCATTTCACCCCCGTCATGTTGTCCAACATCTCCCCGATACTCGCCCGCACATGATGTTTCGAGAGCAGCCTCAGCGGAAACTTGATAGTCACCACAGAATAAATGCTGACCGGCCTCCAGCTGCAACTGTGATTATTAGCGATAGCAGTGAAAGCAGCGACGGTAGTGATTCGGATGATCAGGAGTGGCCTATCAAGTGTATCCTCCGTGAAACAGACACTGAGTATCTGATTGATTGGGAGGGTCCTTACGATCCAACTTGGGTGAGTTCCCGTGGTACGATTGGACATAAAAGGCATTGAAGAAATGCTTGCCGAGCTTGTACTAACAGTTGCGCTTCCGTTGCTTCCATAGGAACCCAAAGCGAACGCGAGTGAACTTGCTGTACAGGTCTGGAACAGGGAGAAAGCTCGGCGATCAAGGGAACGAAATCGAAAATTGACACGCGAGGGGATCACCAAATCGCCTATTGTCATCGAGGTCTCTTCCTTATCCCCAGAAGCAATCATCGACCTAGGGGACCACTCGCCCTTCGATAAGGAAAGCAACGAGACCGAGCAGAGCGACACTGATTACGATAATTGTTCAAGCGCTTCCTCGTCGCTATTTGTGCGACAAGAGGGGCTTCCAGAGTTAGTAGACTCCCTTCGATCTCAATACATTGAAGCCTCGGGCTGCTTTTACCGGACCTCCTCGCCACCCCGGTCTCTCTCCGAAAGTTCTCCGCCCCTGGAGGCTGTATCCACCAACTCTCTTTCGCAGGCCACTGCTGCGTTTTTTGAATATATCCCCGAGTCATCTTTTCCGCCTGAAGACCTGCAACCAGGTGAGTGGGACGACGAGATCGTGTTCGATACGCAGCAGCGTGATCCGACTTGTGACTCAAAGGCCGATTTGGTTAATAGATGCTCATCGCATCGACAGTACTCTGCGGAAACCAACGGGGTTATTGAATTATCACATCCGATCACGCCGGGTCTTGGACTGGGTTCAAAGGTCATCGAAATAGCTGAGACACCTGCTCAGCCGCCAGGTTTAGAAGCTGCATCTGATTTATCGTGGCTCGGTTCCTTCCCTGTTGATAATCCTCCATCTCACAACAATTTGATTTCTCGGCCTCTTGCCTCGTGCGGCTCAGTTGTCAGAGGTAGTTTCACGTGCCACATGAAGCCTTACATTTCACTCACATTTTCACAGACTCTGAGTTCGTCCAATCGACTTACCTGAGCTCAATCCCAGAGACAGTTCTTCAACAATTGTCACAATATCCAGAACAGCTCGGTGCTGACGGTTTCACTCGACCAGTGTTTTCATCTTCTAATCTCCTGGAAGAAGAACTATCTGCCGAAACCATGGAAGACAAACAGCCCAAGCTATCTGACCCTTCTCTCTCCGACGCCCCATTGGACCGATACGATCAATTGCCAGGGTCTACCCCTGTGGAAAAGATACGCAACGCCTGGGCACAACTCAACGACGAACATCACTCTGAGCTATCGCAAACGGCTAACGCTGTCGAAACTCCATCCTCAGTTGGGGATATCGAAGCTTCGGTCCCTGTGTCTATCCCCGAAACAACTGCCCCGCTTAGTGTGCGGGCCGACACAGATTCCTTCTCCCATTCACATACTGCAGTTCATCATGGTCATTCTGAATCTTTACTGCCGCCCTCAGAACTAGCTCACGGAGGCCATATGACTCAACATTCACTCCAAACTATCCACCCCAGCGCCCTGACCGTCACCGACATGGATGAGGTTACGCCCGGTTCAGTCCACCTTGGGCCATCTGAATTTGCCGTCACCCTTCCGATGGATTCTCGTGTGAAGGATGACTACGAAAGAGTGCTATCAGATGCAGCCACAAACATACGCCAATTTTTCGACAGCTTTCAGTCAAATACTCAAATTTCTGAGTCTGAGGTGCGTAGGGAATCTTTCTTGAATATGTTTCACATTGCTTACGTGCTACGCACAGCGAGAGGTTTTGCATGCACAAATGCGAGAAGTCATTGCGCGGTTGAGCAATGTTTCGACCCATCCAGACTTAAACATCACCGACCATTTGAAGGACCCTGACCCCGACCTTGCGAAAGAGGCAGCCTGGGCAGAATACTCAAGCGCAAAGTTTCTTCTACTAGGTCATCTCATGGATATTGTAGGTACGCACGAGCTCCATCTGATTCTCGCTGTCGAAGACGAGAAGAAACAGACAGTCCTTGAGCGTTATCTCCAAGGGAAGGGCTTCACATACACCAGACCACGTGAAGAGATGGGCAGCATCATGGAAGTTTCCCTAGCCAAGGGGTCGCTGAGCTTTGGAATTCATTCCAATGAGACCGTCCGCGAACTTTACAAACCGCCGTCTGCTATTTTTGCGTTGGATTCGTATTTCAGACCCAAAAGTCCATCCGTACAGCACATTCGAACGACTTATGCTCGGAACGGGAACTTGCTTCCAGTCATCTGGTTTCTTGTCGCCAACACAGGTGAACATATTGAGCGTTGTTTGCCCGAGTCACCGGAGCCCGATCGATTGCGTTTACTTGTGCATTACATTGCTCGTCTCCATGATGAGGTCGGTGATCTTCAGGATGATGCCCTTGGCGTGCATGAGGACGCAGAAGAAATTCTTGGGTACCTCTTGGGTAGTGTTGCTGGTTGGCCATTACCTACCATTGAGCCTTTGAATCTTGTGTCCCTGGAGGAGTTAGAGTGCGAGAGCTCTCCTTCATCTGACGAGGCGACCCAGCCGGCTCAGAAACGCACACTAGTAAGTATATCACATCTTAATGTATCTACATCCAACTAACGCTTCGGACTAGGACCATGAACCCGAGGAACACTCGTCAAAGCGCGCACGGGTCGGTACTCAAGAGAACAGCCAGTTGACTGAGTCGACTAAGCCTCCTAGTCAAACATTGGACCGCGATTTGCAATCACTAGAGAAGAATCTAATGCAGATGAAACACATCCATGCCACTGAAACGGCTCAGTTTCACGCTGAGCTTTCTCAGGCATATTCTCGATGCCAAGAAATGGAGAAGGCGCTGGGTATTCTACAACACCGTTACGAGAGCCGGACCAAGGAACTCCATGCAACTCGCCTAGAGCGCGATCGGATGAATGAGAATAAGCCGTCTTTGGAACAGCGCGTCGAGAAACAAAAAGAAACCATCTCAAGTTTGAAAGAAGAACGGACAGAGCTAAAGCGCGAGCTTGATGAAGCCAGGCAAGCACTCAAAGATGGCGGTGGTAGTTCTGCCGAACTGGAGAAAGCCCGCGAGGAAATCCGCCGCCTCGCCAAAGAGAATGCGAACCTTGAGCGCAAGGCTGAGTTCGAGAAAAATCAAGCCGAGTACACCCGAGAGCAATATCAGACCGCATCTACCGCGGCCGCGCAGTCCGGCACAGAAAGTCGCCGTTTAGCCACCGAAAATGAGAAACTAAAGCGCAAGGCCGAAAGCAACGCCGTCCAACTTCGCCAATTACACATGAAGGACGAGTCCGCTCGTCATCTAGCTCGCATTGAAGAGCTCGAATTAATTCTCGCTACGCGCGACGAATTCTTACGCAGGAAGGAAGAGGAGCTTCGTGAAATCCGAAAGAATCGTCCATCTACTCGCTCGACTAGCACTCAACCACGAAGCCCCAAGTGGGCCGGCAGCCGTCCGACCAGCCCAGGGATTGGTCATAATGGTAACGGCAATGGCGGTCTTGGGGGAAGAGGCAGTGCGCTGCGATACAGTTCGGAGATGCCTTTCTGAGAGCAAGCATAAATCAATATCCTCCGTGCTTGCCACGCTTTCTGCTCATCTTTTTGGCACGCCTTTTTCTCACCCCTGCCAATCTATGACGTCTAGATACGATACATCGACCGGGCATTTGCGCTTTGCGAAGCATTTTAGTCATTTTAGCTGGGTCTTTGTTCCTTTCATCCGCTCATTACAACATTGCATCTTCCTGGCGTTTCCTCTAATGGAATTTCCCATTTACCCATGAGCGATTTTTGTTTCGTGAGAGTAAACCGGGTCTCGGATGCAACGCTATTTGAGTCTTACGGTCTCTCCAAGCAAGTGCTACTGTTTCATTCGATTTTAGCGGTAGTTCTTTTTGCCACAGCTCCAATGACAGATGTATTAGTGTTTTTATTCGATTTGTAGGAAACACCTCTCCCCGGAAGGCCGGGGAGAGGAGGATGTTCAGTGTAAGATTTCCTCTAGGCATTTAATTAGCTTTGAAAAGAAAGCCTACTGCTCCAAATGTGAAATGTCAATCTGGATTTCATATTGGGTAACTAAGATATATTTTAAAAGTAGCAACGGTGACCAAATTATGGATAATGTATATACTAGGCAAATAGACAGTGAGAAAAGGAAGAACATCGTGATGGACGGAATGTCAAAATCCACAGAAATAGACAACTCGCAGTCCGAAAATGCAATGCGCTTACGCCGAAGCCATAGAGTTAGCAATGAATGTAGCCAGCTCACTAGCCTTCTCGCCGCGAGTCATAGTGAAATGATTGGCATCCTCTATAACGGTAATGCCGCCAACATGCTTCGGCCCGACGAGGGTATCCCAACCATTCGGACCGAGGTCGGTGCGGTTGTTCAACAACCAGCACATCTCACGAGGGTCTGGACTACCATCTTCAGCTGGCGCAGGGCGAGCATCATCTGGCTTAGAGCAGACACCATCCTTGGCCCAGACCATGAAGGTCTTGGGCATCCTTTCAGTCAGCTTGGGGTCGTCATAGGGGAATGGAACCGCCTTGTAAGCATCCAGGGAGTCGATGAACGATAGGAAGTGAGGGAGGAGCCATTTCGGCGGAGGTGCCTTGCCCTCACCAAACAGTCCGATCGTATCGAAGAAGCTATACAAACGGCGAGGTAGCTTCTCAAGTCCAATGGGGAAAGGGGAGTCCAGAAGGAGCAGGCGCTCGACACGCTCGCCTTCCTCGAAAATCAATTGGCGCGCGGCGTCGTAGGCACAAATACCACCGGCGGACCAGCCACCGAAGTTGTATGGGCCAGTGGGCTGGCGGCGCCGAATCTCCGCAATATAAGGGGCTGTGATCTCGTCCAAGCTGAACTTGAGATTCTCAGGAGTGCGCATGTATGGGCAGTTCAGACCGTAGACACACACGTTGGGAGAAATTCCAGGGATTCCAGCATAGGAAGTAGCAGAGCCAGAGCCATCAGGGAACAAAAACAAACACTGAGTCGCTGTTTTCGGGTTTCCTTGTAGGAGGATTGAAGTCGCTGGCGGGTGCTTGGGGGCAGTGCTGGGAGCAACCACTGGGGCAACTTGAACGGGAATCTCTTCGGGGAGCCTGATTGGCTCCGCCGGAGCGGCCTTGGGCTTCAGATCCAGAGTAGTCTCGATGTCATCGAGTGTTTGGTTCTCAATGAAAAACTCTCCAGGGAGATCAAGGTCAATATCTTCACGGATCTTACCGAGAACTGTGAGCGACATCAATGAGTCTAGACCCATCTCACCAAGGTTTGCATCGCCACTAAGCTCCTCGGGTTCAACGCCGATTTCCTCGGCCAAAATTGCCGTAATCTGTCTCATACTATCATTTTGCTGACGCAATTCGTGAGTCATCGACTTCTCATTTGCAGGGGTTGGTAGGCCACTGGTGTTTGGAGAAGAGATGTCACTCTCTGAGGCGGACGAGGACATGTCACCTTCGCTGCTTGATATATCGGTACTTTCAGCAGAGCCCATTGAAGATAGGAGACCTTTGAAGTCTTTGACCGTTGGATTATCCACGAAGACAGATGATTCAAGATCGATTGCCATCTCCTCACGGTATCGCCCAGTGACAGTCAGTGATAGCAGAGAGTCGACTCCGTAATCAGCGAAGTTTAGATCATCAGTGAGTTCAGAAGCTGCAAGTCCGACCTCTTCGGCGAGGATTGCAAGAGCACGAGCAGCCAGATTTGGCTTTGTAGATTTCGGCGAAGGGGATGCCTTTTTGGGAGCGCTAGGCTTTGCCTTCTGGACATTGATGGGACCAGGAACACGCTTGGCGGCCGGCGCGGGTGCCGGGGATCCTCCACCGGGAGGAAGAGCCATGTCGAGGATCTTCCGTGCCAGAGCTTGGAACTATATTGCATTATGTTAGCGTTGCATTCGAGAAGACTGGAGCGACTGTTGAACATACCTTAACGCCACCATACACAGCAACTATGTCATCCCCCTCAAACATATAGACATCGCCTGCCCAGATAGAGTCTTTCCAGAGTTGCATCCTCACATAGGTGCGGTAAGTGACACTGGGATCGAACTTCTTCAAGCATCGCATCGAATCCCACCCATGATTGACGAACACTTGGTTCTTCGAGTCGGTGTTATCACTAGCATTCATAATGAAGCCGGACAAGTGACCGATGCTGTCAATCCAGAATGGATTGCGATGAAAGTTGCCCGGCGGGGCCTCGAACTTGACCAGGGCAGTAGCCTCGTGTTGCTCACTGTCGAGGATTACTTCCCGAATGGATTTGTAGTTTTCGTCATAATCAACCAGAGAAGCAAAGAGCTTGTAGACCATTCCTCGCTTCATTCGGTGGGCCTGGCCGGATATCGTGCTCTCTTGGAGATGCTCAATACTTCGCTTGATGAGGTAAGAGCTGCGCTTCCACTCGAGCTCGTAGGGAATAGGATCAAAGAACTTGATGTTGCAACTGGCGTGGTCAAGGATCTTCTTCCCCTCTGGAGTCACAGACCACACTTGCACCTTGGCACTCTCTTCGGCCCAGTTTGCGGTGGCTGAGACGCGGAATAGTTGCTTGCCTCCCTTTGCAATAAGTGGCTTAGGGACAACCACGTTGCAGATATCGAAGCCTCGATCTTTCCATTCGGGCTTGTAGTTTTGAACTAGATATTCTCCCAGTGTTTGTGCAATATCGGCGTACAAGGACTAAAATCTAATCAGCAAACAGGACGTTGAAGTAAGAAATTGGGAATGCATACCGATGGAGTAAGACAGGCACCGTTCACTTTGTGACCTGCAATGACCCGATTGAGCTCGGGATCAGCAATGTCATTCTCAATGACGATAAATGCCGACGAATTATCACCACTCGTCTCCAAAACTCTCTGGGCTGCCGATGACAAGAACACGGAGACTGGCGCAGCTTCAGCCACTGGTGCCGTTGTCGGTGCACCTTTGAGAAGACAGAAGTTATTAGTGTAGGGAATCCAGTAGTTTTTGAGGTCCCACTTATATGACGGAAGTGGGAGGACTTTGTGTCCAGCAGTGAAGTCCTGGTGATACTCCTTCCATCCGACCTCAACTCCGGCCAAATAAAGAACCGAACTAGCGTTTGACAAAACCTTCCATGTATCTTCCTGACGACGGAGAGAAGCAACAGTAGTTGCCTGGGAACCGAAAGTCGCCTTGACCATACCGGAGCAGACGGGATGAGAGCCAATCTCAACCCAAAGGGTCTTGTCGTTCATCAGGTTAGAGTGCCGGGTAGCTTCCAGAGCACCCAGGAAATTGACGGTCTCCCGGCAGTGGCGGGCGAGGTAGCTAGGGCCAAGCAGCTCGCTATTCGTCTCATTGATGACATCTCCAAGAAGGGCAGATACGAAGGGAATAGAGGGTGCATTGAAAGTGACACCCTTTCCAATCTCTGCTAGCCCCTCAAGAATAGGTTCCACTTGTGCTGAATGGAAAGCAAAAGGTACATTTAGCTTGGTTGCTTTAAACCCTTCATTGGTAAGAATTTGGGCAAGCTCGTCAATTTTCTCACATGCGCCACTGATAACAGTCTCGCTGGGCGCATTGATACAAGCCACCTCGGTAGCCTCATCAAGGAATTGCTTGACCTGTGCTACTGATGACTTGACAGCAAGCATAGCGTGGGTTCCGATTTTGATCTGCTCAGTGAGAAGTTGGGCGCGTCGTCCAGCGAGGTAGATAGTGTCACTAGTTGTCAACACACCAGCAGCATTGAGGGCGGCAAACTCGCCGAGGCTGTGGCCCATAACAAAGGTAGGGGTAACACCCAAAGACATCCAGTACTTGGTCAATGCCATCTGCAAACAGGTGGTACCGAGCTGGGTAACAACTGGGCTATGCTCTTCAATTGGCACACTTCCATCGATTAATGACACAATGGATGGGAAGCCCTGGCTTTGACCAATACAATCCAAGTGCTCGATGTGGGCGCGGAATTGCGAGCAGCTTTCAAACAATTGGCGTCCCATGCCTGTGTACTGAGCACCTTGTCCGGTGAAGACAAATCCGATTCCAGGTGGGTTGACAGGAGCTGGGCTGATGCTGTCTCGGTTGACGATAGGAGCCAATGCACTCCTCACTTCATCCAAAGTCGATCCTATGACAGCGACTCTGAAGGGATGGTGGATGCGCCTCGCCGTAGTTGTGTAAGACAGATTGGCAAGGAAGCTAGCCTCGTTGACATTGAACGAGTTCTTGTTTGTGTCGATGTACTGCACGAGTGCAGAGATGTTGTTCTTCAGCGCAGACTGAGACCGAGCAGAGACAATTACAGGATAGGTAGACCTGGGGTCTACTACGATATCCTCATTGAGCGGGCCATCTTCAATCATTAGAGCAGTGTTGCCACCGGCAGCAGAGAAATTGTTGACGAAAGCCTTTCGCTTGCCGCCATTTGGCCGGTTCCAAGGAGTAGGCTCAAAAGCAATGTGCACGTTGCGCTGAGGGAAGTCTGTTGGGAAGTTGTGGTTGATCTTGGTCTTGACGCCACAGTGAGGGGGAATCATGTTTTTCTGCATCATCATCAAGACTTTGATCAGAGCTGTCACACCAGAGGCCGACTCTCCGTGGCCAACGTTTGACTTTGCTGAACCGAGGTGAAGGGATTGAGTTGGCCCACGACGGTAGTCAGGAGCGAAGACATCGAGAACGGACTGCATCTCCACTGCATCACCTGCCTGGGTGCCAGTTCCATGCATCTCGATGTAGCTGACCTCTTTTGGATCGCTGTTGGACTCGTTGAGAAGCTTGTCAAAGATAAAAGACTGAGCCCCTACGTGAGGCCGAGTAATTGACACAGCCTCCGCTGAGTGGTTGGTGTAGGCTCCTCCAATGATACCATAAATCGGATCGTTGTCTGCCTGAGCATCCTCGAGTCTCTTCAACACAACGGAGCCAATTCCATCTGCTCTACAATAACCATCAGCACCATCATCAAATGTGGTGCAGTTTCCAGTCCTTGACAGGAAATGTCCACGATCAAGACCAGCATGGTTGTCAGGATTTGTCAGGATATTGACGCCGCCAGCCACGGCAGAATCGCTTTCATTCCTCCACAAGGAATTACAGGCGACATGAATTGCCGCAAGACTTGACGAGCAAGCTGTATCCACGCTGACACTTGGACCGCTGAACTTGAAATAGTAATTGATGCGACCGGGAGTGAAAGCACGGTTACCACCAGGGATGAAGTAGGTATCAATATCCTGCCCACTATTGACCTCACGGTAGTCATCACTGGTCATTCCATAGAAGACACCCACGCGATTTTTCTGCGTGGAGGGAGTGCTATCAGGGATAAAGCCTGCCATCTCCAAAGCCTCGTAAGCAGTAAGAAGTGCCAGACGCTGAGCAGGGTCTGCTTGAAGGGCTTCGCGGGGAGACATATTAAAGAACCGAGGATCAAACATTCCGGCGTCGTTATACCAGCATCCATATTCAACTTGGCTGGTATTTCTTCTCTTTCCTTCCGCGTCGACGTGAGCCTTGACATCCCATCGCTCTGGGGGGACTTCGCGGTGGACGTCCAATCCTTTTTTCAAAAGATCCCAGAATGCTTCGGTGTCAGGCGCCTCCGGGAATCTTCCGGAAAGACCAATTATTGCAATCTTGGACTGCTCGGCACGGCCGGTGCGGTTATCTCCCGCGGAGTCCTTTTGAACATCGCCAATTGTGCTATCCACCTCGACGTTGGAGATTCCAGTCTTTTTCAATGCGTTGAATAGACTCTGTGCTGCGTTGCTGGAAATAGGGAACAGAGTGCATGTTTTGGCGAATTGCAAGGTCGACTGGCAAGATTCGATGACTTTGTCCCAGCAGAGCTGTCGTTGCAGAATCTCTTGAAGAGAGAACCTCAAGAGCTCCTCAAGGCTTTCAGCCTGGAATTCCTTGCCTGTTTCACTTGACAGTACAGGGATCTGAGGCACGTAGTTCATCAACTGTTCAATAGGCCAAGATTCCATGATTCGGTTAATATCCCTGTCATCATACAGGTGCGAGGCATGATAAGGGCCGTGGATTGGTACTCTTGTAGGCTTGTGCTCTTTCGAGAGACTATCCTCAATGAAACGCCCTAGGAAGGTCGGGGGACCGCTAACTGTCAATCCATTGGGACTGACTGCGCTAATATAGGGCTGGGAAACGCGGGGCAAAGCCTTCAGGATATTAACAACCACCCTATTTTACTTGCACCAATTTGGGGAAAGAGACTTACATTTTTCTTCGCGTACTGCTGAATCAAATCCTGAGCCTCAGGTTCGCGCATGCCATGAATAAGTACAGACCAGCTTGATGTTGCCGATTTGCTTGATTCTATGAGCTCTTGTACTTTCAAAACACACATGCCGAGCCTCAAGGCAACAACCACAGTTTCAATGGCAGCCGGGATAAGCTCTCCGACAGTTTTCGAGGAGCTCACGGCCGCAGACGCGAGTTGACCGGTGCAAAGACCAATGATGCAGCTCTTATCTCCCGACGGGTAGGCATGGCCCAAATCGCCGTAGTAGCTATCAGATTTTGTCAGCAAATCTCATACCAAACATTGTTTAATATCAAAAGGAATATTCTTACTGGATGAAACATCCCAATTGGTAAATTGTCGTCAATGCGCTCTCCAAAGCAGGATTCGGTCCGGACTCTTTGAACCTCGCGAGAAGATCAACAATGCTAGTAAATCTAGGGAACACCTGACGCTCCGATGGTGGAAGTGAAGTAATTTCCTTGCGCAACGCATAGTATGTCTTTTGGAAAAATGCTCCAACAAGCGAGTCGTTTTTTGCATGCAACAGACGGCGAAGACCCGAGTCGAAATCCGCAGTCTGGTCTCCGAAGAGATACACCTGACTGGGGCCTTCCATAATCTGCCAGATGACAAATAAAAGCTTCAAAAATAGCTAGGGAAGGAAGAAAAATTTAGGAACCAGCGCAAATTGACGGATATGATACTTTATAGAGGATGTGACGGAAGGATTTTTTTAATATAGTGGGTCAGTAAAAGATTGACATAGACTACATTTCTATTGTCTTGGCTGTATCGAAATGGGAAGTGCAGGAGTTTGGGTCTCAGATCTTTTCTTGTGAATCAGGTTTATATGGTATGGTACTCCCGGTCCAAAGAATGGGGAATGTACGATCCGGGCGGCATATGCACTAGCGTTCGGCATATGTCCTTTGTTTTCGTACTTCTGGTATTTACGCCCTACACTATACTAATGGCACCGTTACTACAGTGGACTCCATAATTATTCCAAGAGTATGATATCGTCCTGGGAAGAGTCTGGTCGGGGATGGGCTGGACCGAACTGAAAGCTCCATTCCCTGGATAGTTCAATTGGATCCTGGTTTATGAGATGAAATTATTAAAGACACCGGCAAGCTGATTATAGTTCATAGATGCCGAAGTGCTGTTTGCGGACAAAACTAGCAATTACTCCAGAAATCAAGCTTTCGAATAGATATTATAACCGACCGATCCGTGAAAAGCCGGTCAGAGTCTAGTGGAGTCATACACAATAGACCCCTTTGGGAGGGAAAATTACAATAAACCTGCAATTAAACAGACGATGTCGCTGCATTCGGAAGGTTACAGTCCTCAGTATTCATACATCACGTGACATGGTTTGCCCTACTTGGACATTTCCCAGCTTCCTAGACCAGAACTTTTCAAATAATACATAAAGGTCATCCATAACATAAATTTATCAAGATGTAGAATGGAGTAAAGGAATTATGAAAATAACCTGCGTGTGCTTTTTTTAATTTAGTATGAAGGTGTAGACCATCTGAAGGCATCATCGTAATGATTCCCATACGTCATGACTCCAGCTTCACAGAACATACTTCCGAGACATCAGGATGGTAGCAGTCTAGGAGACTCTCTTCGCATTTTTACGGTCACGTCTGGGCGATCAATAAGATATTGCAAAGCTTATTTTCCTTTTTAGGTGGAATGGTATTTTCTTGTACAAAGGAACACTTCAATACTTGTGATATCAACCACTCGATTGGTAAGATGGAATAACAATCAATAAATATCACTCACGTGGCTCATGGGATGATCACCCCATGGCGACCCGGATTGTTGAAACGAACGATGGGTCGAGTGGACCCGGCTCATTCAGACCAAGCTCCCACATGTGCACGATAAATGGCTGCAAACAGACTATTTTACGACAAAAAGAGAGAAATAATATGAAGAAATGAGTGAAGAAATGAGATAAAACAGTGTGATCTCCTAGCCATTATGGCTGGTGTTTCTATGTATGGACAGATAAAAAAGCAGGTGCAAATATTAGTACAAAATGATATAGAACGCACGAGTCATTAATTAACCAGAATCCAAAGGCCTCATATCAACCATCAATGATAGCCACATTCTCATACTGAAGCTCATATTGTCGGGCGGGAAACAACCCCAGACATGGCCTCTACAGCTCTATATATCCTTGCCCTCGTAGATTACCATGGGTATGATGTCGTGAATGGGACTTCCCGTTGCCCGAGCAACATGTCGACTATCAAGTCTGCCGCTGACCCTACCGATGAGGCTGTCGGGGGCGGGGGGTCTGGTCCTCACCTTTAGGGACTCGAGGCCACGCATCTATGCCATCGAGGAGAGCAACAGCCATTCCATTAGCCATGTGAGTATGGATATGGCAGTGGAAGAGGAAGGGTCCAGGGTTGACAACCTGGTACCGCACAATCATCCATGTTGGTCCCTTAGGGCCAATGGTGACGAAAGTATCTCTCATTTGGGGGTTTTCCAGTTGGAAGAGGTCAGGGCGCGCGGCATAAGCTTCTTCGGTGCTGGACCAATTGAAAATTCCAGGACCAACTCCAAGAATGAAACCCTTATTGGAGTGCTTGTGCATTACATGAGGGGCCTGGATAGCAGGGCTGTTCGGCATTTCGCCCAACTGAAGCAATAAATCGACCCAGGTTCCATTCTTGGTTTGGATTGTAACTTGAGGCTCCAGGTTGTTCTTTGCGTTGATGTCATAAAGAATCGGACTGTCCCAGTTGGCCATCATGTCGTACAAGCCACTGCCTGAAGTAGTCCATGTGTAAGAGGAGCCCAAACGGCCAAGGGTGAGGTTGACAAGCTGATCAGCGGCCTTAGGGATAGTGACAGCAGGGTAATTCTTGATTGCCTTATTTTGCAGGGCACGGACGGAGGCGGACGTGTTTCTTCCGCCGTAGTCCACATAAGGCAGAGAGGGAGTGGTGTCTTGAGAGCCCTTGTATTTCATTGTAGCAAAGCCAGAAATGACCTGATCGGCCTGGGTGTCTGGAACACGAATACTGTATTCCTTCCAAGGCTTGTCGAGCTTGATCATCGCAGCGTAGCGCTCGCCACTGTAGATGTTAACACTCTCAGCAAGCTGAGGCTCGATGTAGCTACCATCAACCTCATAGATATACATGGGGTGTTCATCAATAGAAAACATAAGAGCCTTGATTGACGCCGCACTGATAAACTTGAGACTGACCCAGCCGGTATTGGGATCAACTTCAATAGTCTCGTGCAAACCAGTGGTAGGAGTACAACCCGAATTTAGTCCAGCTGGAAGCTTGTTTTCATAGGTTGGAGGGAAGTCGCCCTGTGTCTCATAGATATTGGGAAGGCATCTAGGATGAAGTTAGCTACGGGAGTCCTGATTCAGCGCTCAGTTATATCTTACCCCTTGTCAGTCAGAGGCTTATTGTCAATCAAAGTCTCCAAATAAGGAAGTTCCACGCTGGAGATCTTTTCGGCTCCTGGGCAGTATACTGCTCCGCGGCCGTTAATGAGAACACTGTCAGAACAGCTGGAAGTTGTTAGCACATTCTTACATAAATCTGAACAATATCGCAACTTACGTGAGGCCCAGCCGGCTGTCTTCCATTGCTTTTTGGTACTCCGATGAGGTCAAATGGTCCCAATCAGAGAGTATGACAAGGTGAGGATTCTTCTCTGCATTTTTCATTGCTTCAATATCCTGTGCATTATTTGAGATAAGATGGAAAGGTTGAGGTACATCCGGACCAGGACTGTATGTGTTAGCATTTCGTGTATTGAACCAAATCAGAATCATATATCTTACTTGATCCAAATGGCCCCATAGAGACCATCTGACATGTCGCCCCGAGCATGAGCATGATACCAGTAAGTACCGTACTGGGTTGCGGTCCAACGGTATGTCCAGCTATGTCCCGGCTGAATAGGCTTTTGGGTAAGACCCGGCACACCGTCAGACCATGGAGTATTCAGCTGCTCGATGCCGTGGAAGTGAATGGTGGTATTGAAAGGCATGTGGTTGTGTACAACGAACTATGGGCAATTAGTAAGCTTTGACTTTTCTCCATAATATCCTCTTTGATAAAGCCCACCTCGACGTCATCACCCTGATCTATGCGCAGTTCGGGGCCGGGGAACTGATCGTTCATGAAGATCATCTCGCGCAGGTTGCCATCGGGCGCACCTTTTTGCCAGGTCAGGTCCAGGTCAAAGTGAACCTGCCTAGCCCATGCTAGATGCACAAGCCCAGCGGCAGCCAAGGCGGCGAAGGCCTTCAAAGGTACCATTGTAATGAACCTATTGGTATCGATGATTATATCAATATATTAGACGTAGCTTCGGGTTTGGCCCAATACCCTTGATTGTGAGGAAATAGGTAATTTTTGATTATCAAACTCCCAGTGGTAAGGGTTGGCTCTGTGTCAACAGGAGAGTATTTGAATGACTCGCATTGTGATTACATATGGAATCCGTCTCCCCATATTCCCAGGGCTGGCCGCATAGAGAAGCATTTGATGCCTGCAAACATGTTTGCATTTTTGACAAATTAGAGAGGTAGGCTTGTGGTTGTCAAATTTGCATAGTCTGGTAAAGATTAGGGAATGTTGAGGTGGCTGGGATAATTTTTGCTTCAAACAACTTTCCGTTTCGGGGTGAGTTGACCCGGCTGACAGGCTCTCGGAGAATTAACCGAACCCGAACAATGTCTTCAGAAGCCTGGTTACTGGGGTTCATGTAGTAGGTAGGTGAGGGTCCAAGATTATGTAAGGGAGTTGACGATCCATCCGGAAAAGTAAGCTGTTTGTGTGTGGCTGGAGATTCCGTAGCCATAGCGAGAATGTGGCAATTTCTCGATCCGGCAGCCTAGTGTGAAATAGCATTAGCTGTCTAATTATATACATAGTTACTCAAGTGGTATATCGTAAATTATCTAATAGCTCACATTGCTTCTAAAATTAGTTTGTCTTTTCTTGTTGTCTCTACAACATAAGAGGTTCGAGAGGCTTTGTGGAGTAGTTGTGAAACAAGGAATGGATGAGAGGGTTTATGCAAAAGCTCTTTGGGATATAATACGTAGATTGAACTACATAACTTCAAGTCGAAAAATCGCTAATACGAGGTTTTGTCTAGTCCCACGGCGCAACGAAAAATTTAAAGACAATAAATATTTAGATATATAAATACAATATTGCTGATATATATCACCAGTTGTGCGAGATTCGGACATCCAAGTCATCGAGATCTCTTTCTAATATAATTCGATACTAGGTGAAACATCTCTACAGGGTAGTAAAATTAGACTCCCTGGTTTCAGACTCGAACTCGATCGAGTTACAAATCTTCTCCTAAGTAAGGTATGAACTCTTTGCCAAGGTTCTCCGAGATGCCCATATTCAACGATCCTCAAGTATCTCAACCCTGTGAGGCAGTCATCAATGCTAATAGTGAATATAGCATCGAATAAGAGAGTGAAAATAAAGATATTGCTTAGTTCACCAGAGACCCTCTGTTCTCGTGTGTACCAGGGTTGTTCGATATCGAACCATGGATCGGCTGCGGAGCCATGTTTTCCATAGATTTGTGATAAAATGAGGAAGCATTTTCGGAGATTTCACTATTACAACACGACATAGCTGTGACTTGGAGATATTTGTATGCCTATATAAATAGATAGCTGATCTTTAAAAGGAATAACTTCATGATTTTTTTATACTTGGGGAACAGGAGAGATTACATAATGTGCATTAAGCTTATCGATAAGGCAGCCCTCCGCCCCTAGTCCCGATCGGGTCACAAACAAACAACCCCAGTCCCGGTTTACGCCCCAAGTGTCGTCTTAGGCCTCACCGATCTGAACCCGCTCTACCTTTCCCCCCCACCCCTTTGCACCTTTGTTGGTCCCATTTGATGCAATTAAATCTCTATTCGCCAATCTTTTTATTTTGAACGCCCAATTGAAACCTCCTTATTTTCTGAACAATGCTGATTGATTGAGCGCTCGTTGCTATCCCTGCGGCCGTGCGGACCTTGTCACCCATCTGACCAAGCTGTGTTGTGTTGGGGTCGAATCAACAACTCAACCTCGTCGATTGATACATCAGTTTCCTAGCTTCACCTGGACGTGGACTTGCCAGAAGTGCGCCAGGTGTTAAAAGAACGTATTGAATCGATCCCGTGTGTTGCGCTGGGCGAAACCGTGTTCAAGTGACAACTATGGCTCAGCTCCCAGCGCGGTTTCCATGCTGGTGCCGAGCAGTATATTCTTGGGGTGGAGAGACTACACGAGATCTGGGGTTTGTGGAGGGGGACTTGATCGAATGCTTGAATGCAGGCGACGGACAATGGTGGATGGGACGGTTGCGCCGTGACAGACGCGCGGTTGGACTATTCCCCTCAAATTTTGTCGAGCTTCTGAGTGAGGACTTTGTGCCCGTGAGCCGTGATACTACTAGTCCAATGGTACTAGCGGGATCTTCTCCGATCAACAATCCCACATCAGCCCCCAAGAAACAAAAGACCGTTTGGCGGAAACCCTTCCAGGCGCATAAGGAAGCCGTATCACCAGCTTCTGTTGCCCGGCGCGCAACTCAGTCTAGCCCAGCGGCACCTGCAATTCCCCAAACACCACCTCGGGATGGCAGCATTCCACGAAGCTCGAAGCCATTACGCACGCATGCGACAGCAGTCAAGAATCAAGGATCGCTATCTCGACCCCAATCAACCTCATCACGACCCTCGTCGCGCGGTGTCTCTCCTCGTTCTTCCGCGGAGCCTGACCGGTCACCATCCATGCTGCCAAGAGGAAGCGTATCCTCTCGGCCTTCATCCCGCGACCAATCTCCATTACAATCGCAGGAGCATTCATATGCGATGACGTCGAAGGGCAGCACCTCATCTACTCGGCCTCTGTCCGGAAATCCATCCCCCCTGCCTGTACGCGAGCATTCGTCTGGTATGGTTCCACAAGCCAGTACCTCATCTTATCGGAATTCATCTCGTGAACCATCTCCATTGCAAATGCAGGATTACCCACCACCAACCATGCCACATGAAAGTATTCCTTCTTACCGGGGCTCTTCGCGTGAGCCGTCTCCATTACAAATGCAGGAATATCCACCCTCTACCATGCCCCATGGGACTATCTCATCTTATCAAGCATCATCGCGTGAGCCATCTCCAATGTATATGGAGGATCATCCACCTCCGACGATGCCACATGGAAGTATGTCTTCCTACCGGGCGCCCTCACCATTACCTATGCAAGATCATTCATCTGCAATGGTCCCATACGGGCGTATTCCATCTTACCGGGCGCCATCTCCGCTGCCAATGCAGGAGCATTCTACAATGATCTCACATGATAATATGTACCGGGCTCCTTCGCGTGGGCCGTCCCCAGTGTACATGGAGGATCGTCCACCTGCGCCCATGCCACATGGAAGTATGTCTTCCTACCGAGCTCCATCGCCATTACCAGTGCAGGAACATCCAGGTGCGCTGGTCTCACAAAGGAGTATGTCATCTTATCGAATTCCATCTCGTGAGCCATCTCCGGTGCACATGCATGAAGAGCGAGAAGACTCCCCCCCTCCTCCCCCTCCGCCACCACACCGAGTTGTAATCGGTGCGAGATCACGCTCTCCTCAACCGCCAATGCATTCCCAGCCACGAAGTCATTCGCCGCTACCACCCATGCACTCATCCCACCATCGTGCACACTCTCCCCAGCCGCCAATGCATTCTGAAACGCGGAGTCATTCGCCGCTACCACCAGCGCACTCATCCAGACATCGCGCGCACTCTCCTAGCCCGCCAAACCCGCCATCACATCACCCAGAATCATCACGATCCCCCACGCCACTAGTTATGAATGACCGTTACACAATATTCAATCGGACCCCATCTCCATCTGCAGCCTCAATGCACTCCGCTGTTTCGGCGACCTCAGCACAGTCAGACATTCATGGCAACACACCTTCTCCGCTCCGTGATGCCATGGAAGATGTTATGTCTTCATTGGAAGACATGGGTCTCCCTCGCCAAGATCAGTCGCCTTCTCCGTCCCCAGTATTCAACAATCCCTGGACCCCAGAAGAATTTGACACCTCGCAAGAAAGGACCCCGCAAGGTAACAGACGCCGGGCTTTGACGTCACTGGGCTTTGATGGGGACAAGGAGCAACCACATGGCGGGCTCGTTCATCGCAACAGCGTTTATAGTCACGAGCAGATGGATGGCCCACCTCAACTCAACAATTATGTCCAAAGAATGGAGAGTCGCCTACGCCAGTTGGAGAATCAGAATCGACCGTCTGAGGACCAAAGAGCTGGTCAGGACGATGACAACGCGCCTCCACCCCCTCCAAAACATGCCACCTACCACCCGCGAAATAATTCTATACCAGGACAATATGCTCCTCTCAAGGCACGGCGTTCCGGCCATGATCTCCGGGGTGATATTCTCAACCGGTCCTTTACCAATAAGTCTAGTGCTACCAATTCGTCTAGTGGGGTGCAAAGCAATGGCACATCCATGACAACGAGCACAGACAAGACCAGCCAAAGCGTGATGAGTGGTTTCTCTGCTGGTGGATTTAGTGCTACGAGTGCAGGGAGCTTCGCCAGGCGCGGCGGGCATGAGAGGCCCAACACTGCTATGGACACTGTCCGCTCTCGAGGATTCAGTGACGTACGCCCCGAGACGCCTTTCACCGGTGTTTCGTATCACTCCAGTCATAACTCGTCTCGCCAGGGTGCATCGTCGGCTATTCCATGGTCGTCTACTGGTCTCGACTCGACGGATCATAGCGGTGTCTTTGGTGGTCTAACTACGCCAAAGAGCAAAAAGCAAGGGTTTTTCAAAAAGATATTTGAAACTGCCAAGACTGGTGCAGCCAGCGCAAGGAGTAGCATTTCGGTCGGTCACGGCGACAGATCAAATTCTCCAACTAAGAGCAACAGAGGAATAGACGTCGTGTCACCGGCTCTCATGTCTCACTCGAATCGCGATAGTGGTCGTGATATGGGGCCCGGAACTGGCACAATTGACTGGGTTCAGGTGCGCCGAGATGTTAACCGGGCATCGTCTCCTAGTCGAAATGAGAGAATCGACAGGGCAGAGCGATGCCAGATGATGGACCACCCTGTTATCTACTCAGTGGAAGAGCTATATGATACCGCGGAGGGCGATGAAAGCATCGATGGGCAACCGATCACTGAGCCAACGAACTTCAACGCCGCTAATCTTACTCTTGTTGACAAGAGTGCACGCTTCATTAGCAGTCTACCTCCAATGACAAATCCAATGAGCCTTGCCCAAGCCTATATCTGCCGACCCTACAAGAGCGACGTGCAGCGTCTTCGAGCCATCTTTACCTGGGTCAGCGAGAAAATAGCGTGGGAGGAACCTGTTGACGGCATTGAAGTTGACATGAAGAGGCTTCTGCAGGCCAAACGAGGTACCCCAGAGGAAATTGCACTTTTGGTTCATGAGATGTGTGCAGCCGTTGGCCTGCATACAGAAATCATACGAGGATTCCTCAAGAGCCCCGGTGATGTCCTCGACCTGGAAAGCCTCTCCCATCCCAATCACTGGTGGAACTCTGTTCTCGTCGATGGCGAATGGCGATTTATGGATTGCGCACTTGCAAACCCCACGAACCCTCAGCGCAGTAAATTTGTTTCCAACAACTCTTCTGTAGCAGAGAGCTGGTACTTCCTTACGCGCCCGCTTGATCTCTGCTACACCCATGTCCCTCTTTATCCAGAGGAACAGCACATCTGCCCACCGATTTCACCAGACGTTCTACTCTCCCTGCCAACCGTGTGCCCGCCATTCTTCAAGCTTAACGTCCAGCTACCAGATTACGACACAAGTTTAATCCGTATCGACGGACTGGAGGTCATGCAACTACGCATGGTAGTCCCACCAGACGTTGAATTTGCTGCGGAAGTCGAAGCTCCAGGATTTGCCCGTGACGCAGATGGCGACATCTTTGAAAGCGGAGACATTGTGCGCAAGCGCGCCTTGGTCCAGCCGGATTGGATCAGAGGCCAGAAGCGCATCACAATCAAGGCTGTACTGCCAGGCGACGAAGGCCAGGGTGTCTTGAGGGTCTACGCAGGCAAGAAAGGGTTGATGCACTCAAGCCGAGACATCCCTCACCCCTTAGCCCTAGCTCTGCCAATTCTCCATACCGGAGAGAACCCATCTTACGACTTTGTCCTGCGGCATCCTACACCCCACGCCCAGCGACACGACTTGTACATTATGCAGCCGCAGTGCTCTCGTCTGGCAGTTAACAATACCTTTGTCTTCTCTGTCCGACAACACCCTGCTGCCCCTGCATCCGCCAAAGACGAGACCTCCAATGGTCGCGGCTCGCCGGTTTCTGTCTTCACTCGTCCATCCAGTGCATTGAGCATGGTGTCCAGCACAGCGGGCGGGTCGATTGTATCAGGCGCTTCCAATGAATTCTCAGCATCGACATCGGCTATTTCATCCACTAGATCTGCTTCTGGACGGGACAAGGCAGCCAAATTAGCTATCCAGTCCCCGTCCGGCAAGATCCTTCGTCTCACTCGAAAGGCAGAACACATGATTAGCAACGATACTAGCGCCGAATCTGTCACCGATGCCGTCGCTGAGGGAAGTGTTTGGGAGACGGTTATTAAAATCGGTGAGCGTGGTATGTGGCGCGGTCTTGTGTTGGCTGACCGTGCTGCGCGCTGGTGTGTATTCTGCGAGTGGGATTGTGTTTGATTATTCTTTTACATATTATGGGCGTTTATCTTAAAGCCTTCTAACATACCTCAGGAGGTGTTGTATTTTTTTTTCTTTGCTTTGCCTTATTGCGGGTTGCATTCTTTTGTCATATTGTCCTTCTGGCTGGCATTTGCATGACTTTAGCTTGGAGCATTGCATATATTGTTCAGGTTCTATTCCGGAGATCTGGATTTCGGTGTTAGTGTGATTTAATAGGAGTTTGAGAAGTTCAAGTCCATATGAGTGAACATAGAGTAACCTAGGAGGCTATGTGTAATAAACAGAGCAATGTATAGAAAACTAAAGTGGAAACAGGCCAATAGACATCTAGCATCTCAAGACACTTCTATAGTTTTTATTTATAATTTAGCTACCGCTGCCCGTAGCAATGGCGCAACATGTTTCCTACTCCCAGCCGCGTTGGTTTGCACCCACAGTTTCCTCCAGAGGGACGATTCCTCATTCAACGTGGAAAGACAATCTCCTGCCAGCTCAGGGATATCCTCCCCATCGAGCGGGGACCACTCTATGAGCCCAAGATGGTCAGAGCAGTGCTCCACAAACCTCTTGACACCCTTAACAGCCGAGTCATTATCACGCATCACGCTGACAAACAGCTCGCGGCAAAATTTGTTTTTAGTGCCCGTAAACGCCGTCATGACAACAAGCACATCCAAGTCTTTCTCGGCGGAGGTTGCAAACGAGCGCAGATCATCGAGGAATTTATCCGGACCACCCGCCTTCCGTACAATCCACCGCATGGGCTTGACAGCAGAGCAGAAGCCCATTCTCACAGTCTTCCCCGAGGACTGTGAGGTCTCAGTCCAGTCTTTGTAATCACGATCCAACACTTCACCCATCGTAAGAAGATCGAGACTATTCTGCTTAGCATAAAGAATGCTTTTATAGAACGCCTCCAGGTCCCAATGGTCTTTTGAATTGGCCGCAGCTTTTGATTCCGCCTCGATTTGAGATTGCAGGAATTCTACAGCCATCCGATCTACATCGGTCACTTTGCCTTCGGCGGTGAGATTAGAGGTATCAATTAGGACCGCGGAAAGAGCAAGTTTCGCAACCTGCGCCATCTCCGGGCTCGAGTCCCAGAGTTTTCGTTGCTGCAACTCTCGAATGATGAGTGATACACATGACCCAGGACCCGGCTGGATAATCATCGGCTGGCCTTTTGGTAATTCGTCGGTGTTTGGCATGGCGTTCTCGTCGATGTGGTGATCGACACATCCAACAGTCCGGAAGGAGACACCCGGTAACCCGGTTAGGAATCCAGTGCCTTTGTCGGTCTTTGAAGGGCGCGGGAACGCGTTCCAATCTACCAGGGTCGCATCGGCGAGTATCTGCTTCCAGACATGTTGGTCTTCGAGAGACTGCGCGAAGTCTGCAACGGTCATAACATGTTCGCGAAGAAAATCCCCCGCAGATTGTAGGGTGTTCTCGAATTGCTCTTCACTTTTCAGGGCTGGGAAATTGGTTGACGACCATAGTGCAGCCGAAAATTCCGGTCTTAGTCGATAGAGCTCTGTGCCAGCGGGGAAATTGGGCAGGTTTAGGAGTGGGATATGGGGTCGTGGGGTTTTGACTGGGAGCCGGTTGTTCGCGCAGTAGGAGTAGATGATTGCTGAAACGATGGAGTCAAGGTCGGCGGAAGGATTGCCGATGACATAGATTGGAGGGTCAGGAAGGGCACCCGAGAGGAATTTGAGGTGTATTTGCCGGGCTTGTCGTAAAAATTGGAGAAGAGTCATGTTTGTTGAATCAATTGATCGCAGCCAAGTCCGATCTGCCCGCAACCCTGGAGATAGTCGACGTCATTAAATTGCTGACTCATCACCCAGCGATGACCGTCTGGAGGTCCGTGCCCAGGTGGACTGGGGGGCATCACATCCATCTCTCCGAGATCTTCCCGCCTGCCCAGGAGGTGGTCAAGGTCGTGTTGGTGCTTTGTAAAGAAGGCCAAAGCAAATACCCCTATATAAGTGCACCATCACAACATCCTGAATTGAACATTACCAAAGCCCATACATGAAACAATGTCTATTCCATTCCAGCTACCAGAAACATTCGCTCAGATCCCACGCTATAAGATACTATACCCCAGCCCATCTCCTATTCACCCCTTACCATCAATTGCACCAAGACTCTCCTCAGTCTCCCCCCACCACCCCCTCATCACCGTCCACGCCAAACGGGAAGACCACTCCTCCCCACTAGCCTGCGCAGGCAACAAATATCGCAAACTAGAATACATAGTACCAGATATACTATCCCAAACACCGCGCTATCATAGCCATGAGAACAACCCAGCCCCTGTTCCGCTGCCAGGCGCAGTAACAACCCTCGTTACAGAGGGTGCAATCCAAAGCAATCATACTGTTCAAGTAGCCGCTCTCGCGCGAAAACTAGGGCTTAAGGCTCTAATCATTTTGCACCGCGGTACAGGCGGTGGACTTGACGCAGCCAAGGACAAGGAAGCCTTCCAACGCAGCGGAAATGTGCAAATCAATCACCTTCTGGGTGCGGAGATTCGCGTATGCGAAGAAGATGACTCGCTAGCGCTTGATACGACCCCTCTTCTGGATGAATTGAGGGCGGCAGGACAGAATCCGTATTGGATTCCTAGTGGTGCGAGCTTGCATCCACTTGGTGGGCTAGGGTATGCACGGGCCGCGTTTGAAATTGCGGCGCAGGAGGAGGAATTGGGGCTAGGGGGTTCTGGGATGTTTGATTATATTTTTGTTGCGTGTGGAAGTGGGAGTACGGTTGGTGGATTGGTGGCTGGGTTTAAGCTGCTGGAGAAGATCATGGGTAAGGGGTCGAGGAAGGTTGTTGGGATTCTGACTTCGCCGACTAAGCCGCGGGCGTATCATGAAGCGCGTGTGCTTGCTTTTGCGCGAAGGGCGGGAGAGTTCATCGGGCTCGATGCCGAACGGGATATTGGGGTTGAGGATGTGCGACTTGATGATCGGTTCGTTGGGACTGCATACGGTGTGCTTGACAGCGGGAGTAACCTGGCTCTAATGACTATGGCGTGGAGGGAGGGTATGATGCTGGATCCGGTGTATACGGCCAAGGTTGCGAGAGGCATGATGCATTGGGTGAACAAGGGTGAAGTCGCGGATTCCGCTAAACCGTTAGAGCAGGTGAATGTGTTGTTCATTCATACAGGTGGACAGGGTGCCCTGGGAGCTTATGCGGATCTCATACAACATCCCTGGATATAGGTTCTCAGTCAGAAACAGTAAGAATGGCTGAATTCAACTAGTATTACATGGTGTAGCAGCAAAGAAAAGCAGTCATGACAGACATAGTCTTGTGGTATGAAAAAAGCAGAAAAGCGTAGAATCGCTGGAAAACACCCCCGGACTCGCCAGTCCATTCTCTTGTACACCCTTTTTTGAAAATTGATCCGAGCAAAACGATAAAAAAAGTAGTAGAGGCGAGTAAACAAAAGACTATAAGCGACGCAGGAACACAAGAACGTACTAAACAAAGACCGAAAAAGTGGTCGAGTTTTCAATAAAATCAGAAAGATTCATTTAGAAAAAGCAAGAACCTGGTCAAAGTTCCTCGTCAAGGTCCCCATTGGTGCCGTCGACTTTGGCGTCGCTTTGCGGTTCACCGGGTTCACCATTTTGAGCTGATTCCTCTTGAACAGAAGCTGCACGACTACTGCCATTGCTGACCACGAGTGCCTCCAGGGCCTCGTTAGCATGAGTATTATCCATAGGCTGATTCTCAGCTTCAGGGTCAATCTCTTGGTTGGTCAAGTCCGCGAACACATCATCCAGGTTCTGACGTGGGCTGCTGCTCGCAAACTGAGGTTCATGACCAAACCGTGGAGGACTGAAAAGTGAGGGTTCCAGGTCAGGCTGGGGAGGAGGGGAGCGCGGCAGGAATGAGGGAGACTGGGAAGCGGCTGCGTGGGGGAGGAAAGCTGAGGAAGATGTAGGTGCAAAGGCGGGTGTGGAATCGCTAGCAGGCAAAGAATAGTTCGCAGAGAAGGGATATGGTGCGGTGTTCGGATCTGCCATCTGAGCCAGCGTTGGACCTGTGACAGGAGGTTGTACGCTACTAGATGTTGGTGGTGCTGGTGGCATCGATGCAGCTTGACTGGGAGCAGACTGCGATTGAGCATCAACAGATTTCCGTTTTGTTACGCCAATGTGCTTGGGGCGAAGATGTTCCGGGAGATCCTCTGGACGATTCACCCCAAGTTGGGCCATTATTTTCTGTTGTTTGGTCGGTCGCGGCTTTCGGGTTGACAGAGATTGCTCCAGAATTGGAGGGGGTTCTGGTGCCACGGGCGCCCACTTGTGTATCTCTTGTCGGAAGAAATTTGTCTCAAAAGTAAGAAGAACCTCGGCACCCTCGATTTTGCGGAGGTAGAATATCAAAGTAGGCACCTCCTCAGTCGTTGTGCAGGCAGCATTAGTGAAGCCATGCAGGAAATCACGGAAGGCTGTCGCTTGATTAATGATACTCTCAAGAACTTCTTCTTCCTCGGGCTGGAAAGGCAAAGTTGCGATCTCCGCGTGCCAATCCTGCAGATCCTCAAGCTTGGGACGGGCAGCATCGCGTGGAATCTTTTGACGCCAATCGCAGATTGGGCAGGTGTACTTGTCAAATTCCTTCACTTTGCCCCGAGCAATCTTCAGGCATTTGCCATGGTACCTACACAAGTCAGTAAACTAAACATGAAGCTGAAGGTTTGTTGGCTTACCATTCGTGACAGACCTCACATTCAATCATCATTCCTGCTTCAGAATGTCTGCAAATACAGAACACATCTCGCTTTCGTGATTTTGGACCCCACATATTGTTGGGATTACCAGGATTCTCAAGCAAACCTTCGGGTGAATTGTCTCGAGACGAAGGCTCCACAGGCGGTCGATAACTGTCTTCTAGGTCGAAACAGTACGAGTTGCGTTTCTCGACATATTCCATGTGGGATCTCAGAATATGAAGAGGGGCGTTCGCCTTGCCAAATAGCTTTTTCCCTTTCCTCATCCAGTCTTCATGGCGCTTTTGTTCACGTTCCAAGTCAATTGCCCCAATGGGTCGACTTGTCAAATGCTCAAGAGATTCCATGAGGTCACGGATGTCCTTGTACTTGGGCCGATTCTTCATCTCCGGGTCCTTGCTCTTTTCATACAGAGTCTGGATCCGTTTCTGCGCCTCGCGCTGCTTGGTCAATATAGCATCGACGGCCGCGAGAGTATCAGGTGAGACCGGGAAGCGAGACGCCTGCGCAGAGAGAGCTTCTAATTGCTGATAGTGAACGGCTTCAACGGACATTAATTCCTTGGCTTTCATTTCCCATGCATCACCATGGCGAGCAAGCTCCTTGAAATGAACTAAGTGTTCATTAGTATCGGAGAGGCCGAGCTTCTCCGCGCCAGCGACGAGTTCCCGGCAATCAGTAAGGGTCATATACTGGTCTCGTTTGCGCACAGCTTGTTCAATCCATTTGATTTGGCGGGAAACTTGCTCTAGGTGTTCCAGTTCCGGGACTTCCACGTTAAAGTTTTTGCCGCGTTCGATGAGTTCTTCAATCTCCTGGAGAGGCCGGGTGTGCGGATGCATCAGAGCAGTATTAATATCCTGTTGGAATTTCTCGATTTCGCGGGTTTTCTCTTCCAACGCCGCCATCTGTGGACAGTCGAACGAAAGTTTATCAGCCTCTGCCTGAAGGGCGTAGATATGTTCAATTCTGCGGACTTCGCGATCGCGATCGTCCAGCTGCGCCGCCTTGGTGCTTCCTCTGCGCCAAGCCTTCTCGTTTTTTCTCCGGTTCTGCTGCTTCCGGGTAATGTAGTTGTTGGCTTCTTCAACCCATTTATCGCAACGCTGGACGAAGGCCGCAAGATCTTGAAGGCCCGGCAAGTGGTATGGGATTTTCTCACCTTCATTGAGCAAGTTATGAAGGGCCTTAAGCTGGGGCTTCGGTTCATCTTCCAGGGTCTTGTCGAGTTTTTCAGACCATGCCTCAGGGATTCTGGCCCGTTCCTGGACTTTCTGCACAAGCCCTTGCAATTCTTCATCACTCATGCGATAACGGAGGGTATGTCCTGAGCCGCACAACTTCTGAGCAAAAGTTTCGCCGCAGCAGTCATAGGTGTCCACATGCGACAAACAGACAGTTTTGCCTGATTTGTGACAACGGAACTGAGTGAGGTAAGCGTAAGCCTTGCAATGTTGGCATTGGTAATCATCCTCAGGAAGGTCTGCATTCTCAACTACGAATCTCGGCTGCGCATCGTCTGTCATGGAGTCGGGACCAAAGCCTGGCGTACGAGCAGACACTTCCTTTTGCCGGTATAGGAAAGCAGCCCTCTCGCTCAGCTCACGAGCGCAGGTTCTTGCGAGTGCTGGCGCAAGCCACTTGGCAGTGGCAATAGAGGTATCACGTGCAGCAGCGGTAAGAAGCAACTCATCATGAGAGAAACACGGGTGTCTGCGGAAGTTTTGAAGACGCTCAACACCTGCGGCACCATATGGCTCCCAGTCCGTAGGCGCGAAGTTGACTGCTTCGTTGAAATTAAAGCCGTGGTTGAAGCCAGCATGGTATGCTTGTGGGAAGGTGAGCACGAATTGACCAGCTCGCTGATCTACTGCATAAACGTTGACACCAGCCTTGCGAAGCTTGTCCGGTGGCATTAAAGTGACAAGCTGGAAAAGAAGATCGGGCTGGCCTTCGAAAAGTTCCGGAACTGCATCCCGCATGGCTGCCTCAAATGCCTCTGCATCGGCACCTGGAATTCCATACCAGGTCTTGGTAGCACCGAAGTGTTGGTAATTGGCCGAGTAAGCGTAGTGATCCTCATTATGCCAGCAGAAAGTAGAGAAACACATGCCCACATAGACCCAGGGAACGGTCATGCCAGAGATATCAGACTTGATGTAACGGAAGAGAGAGTCTCCATAGAATGGAAGGACGTTCAGGTTCCAAGGATCAGAAGAATATGGGTCAAGGGGATTCCGCTCGATAGTCGGGAATCCACTCCCATGCGTGGTCGAATGGATATCCGCGCCGTACTCGACTTCAACGGTCTCATGGAGATCAACAACAAGCTTCCAGAATTCAGCCTCCACGTCATCCTCGGTTTCGCGTCGATGCGTGTTGAGAACGGGATCGAAGGGCATTTTGGAGGCAAAGTACTTCTTCTTGAACTCGTTAGCCTTCTCCTGGAACTGTCTAAGTGAGTAAACACCGCCGTCTTCAAATCCGAATTCCCCTGTGCCGACTAAGCACTTCGGGCAGTGCCAGTCGTGCTCCGATGGCGTGGTAGTAGACGGATCTAGACACGCTTTGTGGTATCCCAGCTCGCAACCGTCGCATACAAGAATCATCCCTTGATCATCCGATTTGCCACAAGTCTCGCATTTCTGTTCCTCAATCAGTCGATGAATAAAACGGTCACACGAACCTCCGCCTACCTCTCCAGCTGGTTGGGAGCCATCCTTGCGCGATTTAACCGGCGCTGGGCGAAGAAGGGACATATGAGAGCCCGCAACCGTTGGGAGGGAATCTAGAAGGGACATTAGATAAGGCTTGCTTGGAGGGTTGAGAGAGCAAGAAATGACGTACCTTTCTTAAGCCGCTTGCTGCGTCGACCACTTCCATCATCGTCATCGCCATTCTCGCACTGAGAGCTATCCTCCCGGCTAAGAGCACGCTTAAGAGACTCCTCATCTTGACTGTGCGCAGGAGTCGAAACGAAAGCATGCTCGGAAACGACCTTTGGTGTCGATGAGCCGTTTTCTCCCTCCCGCTTAATTGGCGGGCCGTTGTTCATGGGGGTGAAAGGGGAATGATTGACGGCGATAAAGCCGCTAAGGCCGGAGTTGACGGGAGTAAATCCTGCAGCCGCTGAGCGTGAAGCAGGGGGAGGAGTGGGTTCAATAGGGGGTGTTGGCTTCTCTGGTGACTTTTCCATTGGGGTATGGGCCATTGGAGTATGTGCCACTGGAGTATACGCCATTGGGGTATGTGAAGCGGCCATTCGAGGCAAGCTAGGAGTGTCATCGCGGACTTTAGAAGGCGTGCCATTTTCATCCATCATTGGCTTGTGAGTCAAGGGCGATTGTAAAGGCGAAGGGGTGTATGGACCACCGTGCTCAAGCTCAAGCTGTTGTTGGACGCCGGGCTTGGCCCGGGCCAAGTATTCCTCGTACGGCTGCAAGTAGCGCTGGTAGGAGTTCTTGAGCGAAGTGGACAAAGACGACATTATCTTGCCGCTGTATCCAAGATCACGACCGATTTCTGCCCATTTTTTCGTCTTGCACACGGATTCAAATCCACCACGGCTCTCTACTGCCTTTTTGAGTTTGTAGAGGTCTAATGGCCGCTTGTCAACGCTAGGTAGCCGGCTGTAATTAGTTCCGTGTTGTTTGTGAAACATGGCAAGTCCATCGACGTAGTTCATGTTCGCGCGGTTTCCTATGTTTGAACAAAAGTCAGAACCGCACTGCGGTGTGATCCTACCAGATGGGGCAATCTGATATGCTGAATGCGTATCCTTACCTCCTTCAACCGAATTAAGCTCTTGTCGACGGGTTTTAAAGTGAAATCGCTATATCAATTGTCAGATGTGATCATGCGCGGGAAGCGATGAAGGAGGGTTCCTACCTCTGTATCGATTGCGAAAGTCGGTTGCCAGCCCTCTGGTGGAATTACTCGGCAAATTCCATACTTTTTCCCCTCTGGTGCGATCTTCTGAATGTAAGCCACCGGGTCTTTGAATTCCTCCTCTGTTGGACGGAAAGTCGGGGCTTCTGGGATGCCATGAGGACGAATGCGCTTGGATGGCTCTCTGGGGTTGTTGGGTTGTCCGCGTCGTTCGACAGTAGACAAATCAAGAGGTGTTGACCTGCGAGCGCTCAGGGGCACGTTATGGGAGTGCGACGGATGGGTGCTCGAGGACCGAGTCGGCTGGCCTTCCGTGGCCGTCGAGGTCGCCCCGGCAGAGGCCGGAGCTCCCATTGTTCGAAATGGGACAGGCGATTAGGGGGTATTTTGGATTGGGTGTGTTTATCTGAGCGAATTCGATTATCAATGACTGTTATGCGACAGAGGCAGGGCGTGATGATAGATATCAGGAAAGGCGGCTGCCGTCCCTGCCAATATGACCGAAGTGTGAAGGATCAGGGACGAACCAAAGGATAAGATAGAATCGAAAAAGAAAAACGAAAGTATAAGTCAGGCGAAAGTAGAAGAAAATAGAGGCCCGAATCGCAGAGAGGAAAGAAGGATAGATGGGATAGAAACCTTAAGAGTGGAGGAAGATTATGTGCAGTACAGATCGACTGGGGTGGTACTCCAGAAGTACTCCCAGGTCCCTTTTGTGTGGGCAGCCAGTAAAAAAGGAACCAATGAGTGACCATGGGGAGACATCGAATCCAGCCGCGATGGTACCGATCAGTACGGTACAGAAGTTACTGTAAGAATGAGCTAATCTGAGCTCAGGTACCGCTTATGCCCTGAGTTTCACCTGAAATTTTGGTAATTATACTGCAATGCTGCAAACGGGACATCATACGGTGTCCCTTATTTTTGTATTTGGGAGCCCAATATTACGGCCATATATGTGGAAAGAGATATCTTGTGACACATTTAGAGCCTCGGATAGTCTATATTATCTGAGTGTAGACCTTATTTACTTGTTTAATCTCAATATGTATTTTATTGGTTATTTTTGTCTTTCTGATATGTTCGAATGTTTATATACGGAGTAGGGTTTATTGTTTTTTTTTCCCTGGCATATTTATAGAGACTTCCTGTGTCATTCTTTACATATCCCTTAAGTATATATCTATTCTTATTTATCAATTTTTTAATATCCCTTTTCCCCTTGAGGGTAAAAAATACTCTATCATGTGATCCGTGTACATGTATCTACCGTTTAGGACCCGCACGGATTCGATAGGCAGAGCTAATTTCAACTTGATAAAGCCGACAACGTTGAATTGAACATATCAATGTGAAGAAAAAAAAGCATTTAAATTCTCTTTAAATCAAAAATTATGGAAACCGAAAGTCCAAAACCAATTCCGGCCTATTACTGTTGTTATCTCCTCCGTTCGACCGTTCGACACGCCTCACTGTATATCGGCTCGACGCCAAACCCGATCAGACGGCTCCCACAGCACAACGGTGTCGCCAAAGGTGGGGCCAAGCGAACCGCCAGAGATAAATTACGCCCCTGGGAAATGACCCTTGTTGTAGAAGGTTTCACGAGCAGAGTCGGCGCGTTACAATTTGAGTAAGTCGCATGTGAATCCATTTGTATACATTCGCAATTTCTCATCTCGAGTAGATGGGCTTGGCAACACCCGGAAAGGTCCCGGCATCTTGAATCCGAAGATGATTTGGACCCCAAATCTCGAACTAAGGCTAATGCCAGTGTGAAGACGGGCAAGCCGAAAACGAAACCGAAGGCCGGAACTAGGAGATCCCTAGTCGCGCATTTGGAGGATCTGCTTTCCCTGCTTCGTTCGACTTATTTCTCCTCTTGGCCATTACGAGTCCGTTTCTTTTGTGCTGATGTCTATCGTGCATGGCGGGCCTGGAATGATCGTGTTGATGGTCATTTGCCCGATAATATCCGGGTTATTCTAGATGGAGACAACCTTGCAACGGCACCCGATGCCAAGAAATACGATGAACTCGCACCCGTCGGAAGCATTAACAATCTATCAATTGACTACACCAGGATTGAAGATTATCTCGAAAAGTCAATCTTTATGTTGGAAGATCCGGAGGATCTACAGTGCACGGTCTGTAAAGAGTCGATCTCCCCGGACAAAGAACAAATAATAGTGTGCCCACATCCAAATTGCCGCGGCACGAGTCATTTATTATGTCTATCTACCAAATTCCTTGACGCGACCAACAAACCAGATCTCCTAGTACCCACTCAAGGGACCTGTCCGTCATGTGGGAACATTGTACAGTGGGTAGCAATGATGCGTGAGCTAAGCCTCCGCAACAGAGCAGAGAAAGAGGCGCGCGCAATTCTAAGAAAGAAAGAGAAGCGCGTCCGCAAAGAGTCTGCCGCCATGGAGACATCTTCAGGACCCCGGTCATCTTCCATTGAACCAAGATCAGTCCCAGAAGAATCGAGCCAAGACGACCTCGGGCCGAATTGGTTCGAGGAAGTCGATATAGAATCCGACTCTGATTTCGAGGGCCGACAGAAGCACCGCCCGACTCGACCTCCACCAAAGCTGGAGATCGTGATTGAAGACAGCGACTGGGATGACGCAGAACTCATTGAATGAGAACGAAGCAGAACTAAGCCCTATCTTATTTCGTATGCGCTAATTTGCAAGAGGCTCCAATTTCCTCAATGCGCCCGTCACGTCCAGACGCGCAATGCAACCAGCTACAGCGTCCTGTATCTCCCGAGCGACCTCATCGATGGATTTCCCAGCATCGATAATGGATACATCCTGCTGCTTCTCGAGGATTGTCCGGAACAGCTCCCGCACGCGCGTCTGCATTGCCTCATTTTCATATCGCTCGGCACCGAACCCACCGCGCTTTGCTGCTTCCTCGGGCGAAATACTAAGGAATAGGCAGATATCCGGGCGCGGTAGTCCTATTTCTGGCTGCCATGCCCACTCCAATGATAATGTGGGGTTCGCTTTCGCGGCGGAGTAGACAACACCAGAATACGAGTAGCGGTCTACGATAACCGTTGTTCCGTTCGTGATATCTTCCTCGATGCTCTTTGCAAGCTCCCACCGGTTCGCCGAGAAAAGAAGGTGAATGGAATGGTCGTCTTGGTTCGATGTGCCGCGTAGATAGCTATCAATCAATTTCCCGATAGGTGTCGTTCTGTCTGGGTAACATTATTAGATTAATCACACTAATACTGGATGGGTCACAAAGTACCTGGGAATCGAATGTATTTAACCACATGTCCTTGGTGCGAGAGGGAATCCCGTAGCATCTCACACTGACTCGATTTGCCAGCGCGGTCCAGTCCTTCGACAACGATGAGAGCTCCGCGTCGCGCCGGCGACGCTGATGTGCCTGTCATAATTGACTAGAGTGTCGGGGTGTAATTATATAATATGTTTGGAATTGTAAATCAAGATGGTCGGTCCCTGAATATATGCAAACTAGCTTAACAAATGTTTCTAAAGGAGAGTGAAGGCGATGTTTATCGGGAAATTCAATTTCTCCTGGCCGATAAGAACAAGATCCAGGCCGCCCCCAACATGGACTTTCAATAACCACTAACGCCATGGACCAAGCGACGTTCGCGTCCCCAGCGATGACCTTCAATGTTTTAGCATCGACTGCACCAGTCCTTGCGCCGCGAGTAGGAAGATTGGCCATTCCAGGCCGCAAGGCCCTCGTAACGCCGCACCATGTCCCGCTCACTTCGCGGGGCACAGTCCCACATGTTGCGCACGATGTGATGCGCGATCACACTGGAATTAACAGCTTGTATGCTGGATTGGAAGACTGTAAGCGGATACCACATGGCTATAAGTGGTTCTCGTCTGTCTTGGACATAGCTGACAGCGCATGAAATATTAAGTCATCGCGAGCAAGGACGCCCCCGTATACAAGACACCCGCCGCAAATCATGAATCGCCAATGAAGAAATTCATATGTGTAGCAGAGGATATGCCTTTGATCCTAGGGCCGCGGCGATTCCCTCCGATCCGATGCCCGCCCGCAAACACTTCAGACTCCATCGCGCTGCTAACGTCTGTCGGATTTACTCAGTTATCTGCGACTGAGTATGTGAAAGCAATTCAAAAACTGAGACCGGATATTGCAATTGGAATGGTGGATTTGGCTAATAAACAGCCCGGATCTAAGAGGCGGGGAAAGATGGTTGATAGAACACATGCTTGGACTCGCGATGCATTGGAGGAGCTCTATGGGGACGCTGTGGCAGAGGAAAACAAGTCGAAGAGCGCATTCTTTGCACCAGTGTTGCCTCTTGATAATGCGCAGCAATCACTCTATCTGGATGACTTGGAGAGCGAGTTCCGGTGGGACATCTCCGGCCTGGCTCTATATCAGTCTGCGTCTTTGGGATTCGTCCCAGAATCTTTGGCGAACCTTCCTCGGTTGTTGTTCAGTGAACCGGAGACTCCCCACACTATTCTACGTGATGTATCCCTTGGAGCAGACCTTTTGACCACGCCTCTGCTTGGCGTATCGTCAGACGGCGGTATCGCGATGGACTTTGTCTTCCCTGCTCCAGCTGCCCTGCAAGAGGGCAAATCCGAGCGTCGGCCTTTCGGGGTGGATCTATGGATTGGAGATCACGCTACAGATACATCTCCGCTGGCCGAGGGATGTGAATGCTATACTTGCAAGAATTACCATCGTGCTTATATCCACCATCTCTTGCTTGCCAAGGAGATGACCGCTTGGGCGCTCCTTCAAGTCCATAATTTCCACGTCATGGATACCTTCTTCGCAGGAGTGCGGGAGAGTATCCAAAGTGGATCCTTTGAACAGGACGTTGAGACGTTTGCTCGTGTCTATGCCTCTTCAATGCCGGAGAGTAGTGGAGCAGGTCCTAGGTATGTCAACTCCGAGTATGTTATTTGTCTGAAAGCTAACAATCTTCCCAGACTTCGTGGATATCAACTCCCGGCCAACGGGCCTAGTCAGCCCCGCCGTAACCCCAAGGTATATGGCAAACTTGAGGACGCTATGCAGAAGTTCGTCGAGTCTCAGACCCAATCTGAGATCGCTACACCGGACACCGACGCGAGCGGACTCGAGGAACACGGATTTGCCGAGAAGTTGTGATCGAGCCCGCGAAAATGAGGATCACCTCTAGAAAAGGCTTGCATGAGAAACGGTACATATTTATAGAAGCATTTGCTTAGCAATTGGCGTATGAAATCTATCAATCAACATAAGGGATATATAAAAGTAGGACCGCACGCATAATCGTAATATTCATCTCAATTGGATGGGGTCAAGACTAGTATACAGAAATCCACATTTTGTGCCATTCATAGTTCATATGTCCAGGCTTGCCCTCATTAAACCGTCAACCGTAGAAACCTTTCTTTAAACCGGGTATATCTTTATCCTGATTTGTAGAAAGATACAGTCTTAAACATCCTCACCCGCCAGGACCCGCCACATCCACTTAACCTCGTCTTCTTCCTCCTTCGAACCGCGCTTGGTACCGGCACCGAACTGCTGACCGACGACACACACAAGCCAAGCGTCGTTCTTGGTTGTGTCCAGGTAGGTTTCCGTGGGGGATCCACGGGGGTAGATGCGACGCCATTCGTCCCAGATTCGGAAAGCCTCTTCACCCCAAGCACGGAAACTGACTTCCTCGATGATCGTTGGAGTGACGATCTCCTTGCCGCGGAATACACCCCAGGTAACAGCGTTGACACTATCGGGGTTGTCGCCAAGGTCGTCGAGCTCCATATCGGCAGGCTGAGTTGGGAGCGAGGATTCGAAGTCGCCCTTGATGTTTGTTGCGAACCAGGTGAGCTTGTCGTGGCCGTGCTTAGCAAATATTGGCTTCAGAATGTTGGTATAGTCGTTGTTCGAGCAGAAGAATTCCACAAATGGCTTCTGGAAGACGAATCCTTCTCGCTGGGGACCCCAGCCGAAGATGGGGTGGTCATTGCGTACACCATTCACTGCGGGCTGCGAGGCCAGTGTCCACCAGCCGCGGCCATCAATGAGCTTCAACAGCTCTGGTCGAATCAGGTCAGTCTCTGCATTCAAACCGGCACCATCCTCCTCAGCACCACCCTCTGACCACGGAACCATATGTAGGTCGCCAGAGACGTGACGGCGGAAGAGTGTGCTCATGTCCTTGTCGTCCACTGGGTGACCCCATAGCCTACGTGCTGAGTTCGCAGTCATATGAAGCGAGGGTCCATAGCCGTCAATCTCACCAAAGGCAGGGGAGCGAGCATCACCCCATCGTCCGTTAGGGAAGTCATCCCACGTTGCTTCTCTACCAAGGGCACCAAGACCCTCGGAGATGAGAAGAGTGGTGCTACGGTTTGGCGGGGGTACCAGCATGCCTGCGCTGTCTGCACGGGCTTCATGGTCGGAGGCATGTGATGACTCGTGGGTAGATAGCTTGTCCACAATGACGCGGTTGTGGGGTTGCGAGTTGATAGATGATGCACGGCGTCTTCGCAACGCACGTCCAGGGAAATCGAGCGGAATCGATGCAGGATCATCCTCGATAGCAAGGTCTCCGGCATCTGAGAACGACGGAATCAAGTCACATTGTTCTAGGATGAATGATACTGTCTTCTCCAAGTTCAAGGTGTAGAAATGGAATCCTCGCGGGCCCGGGGAGGGAATATCCCTCATGCCACCCACAATCTCGCTGACAATATCCACACCGGCGCGCTTGACCGCATCGTCGTCGTGCTTCAGTTCTTCCATGCGCTTGGCAATGGGAGGTGGGATCGTAACATGGCTGAGCTTAGTCACTCGAGTCAGAATCTTATAGCTGTGGATGGGCATCAAGCCTGGAATGATAGGGATTGTCTTGAAAGCACCACTTTCATGGTTGCGAACCATGTTCTCAAACTTCTGGTAGGCATCGATATCGTAGGTCAGTTGGGTCATGATGAAATCTGCTCCAGCCAGTGTCTTCTCGACCAGGTAGGGCATATCCCTAGCCGGATCCTGGACATCTTGGAAGGTATCGGCAGGATGGCCCTCTGGGTATGCGGCAACACCAACACAGAAGTAGTCGCCATGAGTCTGGCGAATGTACCGTACGAGATCAACTGCAAAGGTGAAGTCCTTGTTGCTATCATCCTCTCCGTGCATGTTATATTCCTCGCTGCGGGGTGGGTCTCCTCGCAGGGCCAGGATATTGCGAATTCCTAGCACCTTAGCCTCATCAAGAGCCATATCCACCAGTTTGCGACTCATGTTCGTACATGTCAGGTGCAGGACGGTGGTCAACTGCAGTTGGCGCTGGCATACTTCCGCTAGCTCGAGCGATCGTGCGGCAGTGCTACCACCGGCACCCCAAGTAACCGTGACGAATAGAGGACGAAGTGCTTGAGCCATCCGCTCCAGACGCGCGGACAGGTTGGCAAAACCCTATAGTACACCTCATTAGCAAATGTTCACGATGCGTTCAGCACGCGGGGTAACCCCCACCATCCGGGTCTTTGGAGGGAAGAACTCCAAAGAAAAGTAGTTGGCATCTGGCGGCAGAGCCGCGATCTTCTCGGTGATCTTCTTCTCCATTGCGTCCTCTTGGTGTATGGGTCAGCAATGGGAGGGGTTGGATGAAGAAGAGAGGATTCGGGCAAAAGTGGACCATATGTCACCATCCAGTCGGGAACGATGATGTCTACAGCTGCCGAGAGGCCATCGCGCAATAAGGGTCTACAGCAAATACACTACAATACATTTAAGGACTTAAATACTATTTCTATGCAAGGGGACTTTATCTTGATTCCAAAGAGCTAGAGAGAAAAAAGTGGCAGCGCTAGAGATGACTCAGCGAGATCATCGTGGGCGGCCCCGGGGGCCGATGCGATTTCCGTTATATTGGGATCGACGAGCTTAACTTGACTATTTTGCATTTCTGTATACTATCCGTCGAAGGACGGTGCTCTTTTGAACGTACATAATCTCTCTTTTCGAACTCCAGTTACCCAATTCCTCCACGAAAACATGACTACGAGGCCGCCCAGCCTTCTCCGCTATCTCCGTCTGCAAACAGCTCGGAACACTAGATCGGCTGTGTCAAGACGAACTATCTCTACTCCCGCTCCTCCACAGCCACCAAAGCCGTCAGAGCCGATTTATAATGACGCTCGCTCTCGCCTACGCCGCTTCAACGACCGCCTTCCTCGGTTTCTCCGCACATATACTACACCCTTACTTGGAGCGCCTGTCACCCATATCACATCCTTCCTAATACTTCACGAACTCACCGCTATTCTTCCACTATTTGGATTGGTTGGCGCATTTCACTATGGTGGCTGGATGCCGGATCTTTCATCGCAGACAGGCGAGACCAATGCCTTCGAAGAAGGAGCTGCGCGTTTCGGCCGCTGGCTGAAAAAGAAAGGTTGGGTGGATGAGGCTGACGTGAATGCTGTTGTGGAGCACGAAAGCACCGGGGAGAAGACGGTGGACCGGGTAGGGGTTCGACTGGTGCTAGAATTTGCTACAGCCTATGCAATCACGAAGGTCTTATTTCCAGCCCGGTTGGCAGCGAGTGTTTGGGCGACACCGTGGTTTGCAAGGTCAGTCTTCACACCGACAGCAAACCTAGCCAGACGGCTCTTCCGCAGAGGCTGAGCTAGTGGAGAATTACTGTGATACCAGAGAGAAGTGTATTCATATATTATATGAATTTGTATATTGTGTATTATTCCAAGCCATTGGACTTCTTCCCCATCACCGCTGCTTTATTCTATGCTAGAAGTATCCGAAAAGGAAGTCCGCCGGACCAGTCTACTTAAAGACGAGGAATTTACTCGTAAACCCAAGCGGACTGGGCGGAGGTGTACTTGAGGACCTCGGAGGCACCGAACCAGAGAGCAATCTCCTTCTTGGCGTTCTCGACGGAGTCGGAACCGTGGCAGACGTTGCGGCCGACATCCTAGTTGAGTTGTCAGTATGCAAAAACGGGACATTAGAGCATTGGGGTGGTTTCTTACGATGGCGTAGTCACCACGGATGGTACCGGGGGCGGAGGCCAAGGGGTTGGTGGCACCGAGGAGGACACGGCCGGTCTTGACGGCGTCCTTACCCTCCCAGACCATGGCGCAGATGGGGCCGCTCAGCATGTCTAGAGCTGTATCAGTGTATTGTAATTTGCGGGAGGATTCGAGCGAGGCAACTAACAGGCGACGAGACCCTTGAAGAAGGGCTTGGTGGCGAGATCAGCGTAGTGCTTCTCGAGGTGGTCCTGGCTAGGGGAGGTGAGCTTCATGGCAACGAGCTTGAAGCCACGGTTCTCGAAGCGAGAGATGATGGGGCCAATGAGTCCACGCTAGTTAAGATTGTTAGTTTAATGTTGACACTAGATGCTGCCGAATCAATGGATTCGTTGAATGGTGCAATGTCCGTACCTGGACACCATCGGGCTTGATGGCAATGAAACTAGAGCAATTGGTCAGCTTGAATTGAAAAGGGGTAATGAAAGAAAAGAGTGAAGGAAGATTGATGGACATACGTCTGTTCCTCGTTGGCGGACATCTTGAATGTATTTGAATAATTCAGGTATGAAGTAGAAAAAGAGAGCGGGAAGAGGGGAAGATTAAATAGAGGCTTTTTAAAAAATTCGGGCCTTCCCACTTGGGCCGATGATTGGTGGGCAGAGGAGGGGTGTTGATGCCAGATTTATCAGGCCATTAGCGCGCACCTTCTTGTATAGACTCTTTTGCTTCAGAAAAATATTTATAAAATAACAGTTCAATTCAAATACATATATGTCAATTTCACTACTATGTGGTATTGCCTCGCATCTATCCCAAATGTCCAGCTGTTGCCCCTCAAGCTCAGTTGTACCTCAATGTCCACTATGTACTTATTCTAGTCATGATTCCCACTGGCTCCCATATTCTACCTTCAAGATAATTCATTATTCCGTCTAGTGAAGGCGATTGTACTCACTATACTGTGGAGAGGTATTAACCAGTTCATATTTATACATATATGTTGTTCTGGGAGCTGAAACATATATATATATATATATATAATATAAATCTAAATAAAATAGAACGCTTCTGGCAATTCTTCGGAAGACTTTACAATACTACCCCGAGGATGGACTAACCTCATGCAGTCTTATGAATGATCGATGGCTGCTACAGGAATTCGCCGTTTTCGACCTCCAGACACCGTCTAAATAGCTCGTGGTTAGGGCAGAGGTTGCGTGTGCCTTGATCGAAACTTATAGCAACCCAAATGACGCTTGAAGTATCCTTGATCTATGAACTTGCAATGTACAATATACAACTAGTAGCGAGTTGATATCACTGATACCAACTCGCTCAACGGCCAAACAAGCTGATTGGCTGTTTTGAAGCTACCATGTATGCCTTACTGCCTTAGGTGTCTTACCCCAGCTCAGGCCAGCTTGTAGCTTCTGTTGACGGCATCTTCACCTCTAAATGCAGGTCAATCATTCATAGTCAACGCCATTCTGTCAGAGATTGAGGGTCTCTGATTGATCATACTATTTATTTCACCATGACCAGGAGTCTACCTGCGCCCCATTGGGCAATGTTGCTCTCCTTGGTTATCCTCCTCGGATGCATTGTCGCCCCCAGTTGTAAGGTAGCCTTTCGCCAAATTACCAGACCACAGAAAGCTAATTCTCGTGATACAAACAGTGGCGGTCAAACACCAGGATTTTAAGACTTGCGAACAGTCCGGGTTCTGCAAGCGAAACCGTGCCTATGCCGATAACGTCTCCTCCCAAGGCACTTCATGGAGCTCCCCTTATGAGCTCGACCCTGCCACCGTACATTTCAAAGATGGCATCCTTAATGGAGTCATTGTCAAAACAACAACTGCCAATGAGAAGGTCCGGCTACCTCTCACAGTGTCTTTCTTGGAATCGGGAGCTGCCCGCATTGTGGTGGATGAAGAGAGACGGATGAAGGGGGACATTGAAATGCGACATGACAGCAAAGCGAACAAGAAGCGATATGATGAGACCGAAAAATGGACTATCGTGGGTGGTCTGGAAATCAGCAAGTCGGCCACGTTGAATGCGCAGAGTGAAACTGGATTCACGAACATTCTATACGGACCGGACGACAAATTCCAAGCCATCGTTCGCCACGCGCCATTTGGGGTCGAGTTTCAGCGAGACGGGGAGACCCATGTTCAATTGAACCACCAAGGGCTCTTGAACATGGAGCACTGGCGACCGAAGGTAGACAACAAAGACGGCGAAACAGGCGAGGACGAGAGCACCTGGTGGGAGGAGACTTTTGGAGGAAGTACTGACTCGAAGCCACGTGGCCCCGAAAGTATTGCTCTTGATATCACCTTCCCCGGTTATAGCCATGTATTTGGTATCCCAGAGCACGCAGATTCACTCTCGCTCAAGGAAACTAGAGGAGGACCTGGCAACCATGAGAACCCTTACCGCCTGTACAACTCGGATGTCTTCGAGTATGAACTCGAAAGCCCGATGACCTTGTATGGAGCCATCCCGCTAATGCAAGCCCATCGCAAGAGCTCCACCGTCGGTGTTTTCTGGCTCAATGCAGCTGAAACTTGGATTGATATTGTTAAATCGACTGCCTCCGCTAATCCCCTTGCCTTGGGCGCCCACTCCAAGACAGATACCAAGACTCATTGGATGTCCGAATCGGGTCAAATTGACCTGTTTGTCTTCCTCGGGCCCTCGCCGAATGATATCAGTAAAACATATGGTGAACTCACAGGATATACACAATTGCCACAGCAGTTTGCCATCGGATATCACCAATGCCGTTGGAACTACGTTACGGACGAGGATGTGAAAGAAGTCAACGCCAAGTTCGACAAGTACCAGATTCCGTACGATGTGATCTGGCTTGATCTTGAATATACCGATGACAGGAAATACTTCACTTGGGACCCCCTCACTTTCCCTGATCCCAAGGGTATGCAACAGACGCTTGATGAGACTGAGCGAAAGCTTGTGGTTTTGATCGATCCTCACATTAAGAACACGGATAAATACTCCGTTTCCGAGGAGCTTAGAAGCAAAAACCTCGCTGTGCTAAACAAAGATGGCGAGATTTATGATGGATGGTGCTGGCCAGGTTCCTCGAACTGGGTCGACTGCTTTAACCCCGCTGCACACGCCTGGTGGGCCACTCTGCACAAGTTTGACAAGTTCAAGGGATCGCTTCAGAATCTATTTATCTGGAATGATATGAATGAACCCTCTGTTTTCAACGGGCCTGACATGACCATGCCAAAGGATAACTTGCACCATGGAAACTGGGAACACCGTGATATTCACAACCTTAATGGTCTCACCCTTTTGAATGCGACATACAAGGCGATGCTGGAGCGCAAGAAGGGCGAGGTGCGCCGACCATTCATCTTGACGCGCTCGTACTACTCCGGAGCCCAGCGGGTGTCTGCTATGTGGACTGGAGACAACCAGGCCACCTGGGACCACTTGGGGGCTTCTATCCCCATGGTCCTGACCAACGGCATTGCGGGCTTCCCCTTTGCTGGCGCAGATGTCGGAGGATTCTTCCACAATCCTGATAAGGACCTTTTGACCCGCTGGTACCAGACCGGTATCTGGTATCCCTTCTTCCGCGCGCATGCTCACATTGATACTCGTCGTCGTGAGCCCTATCTGATCAGCGAGCCCCATCGGTCCTACATTGCTCAGGCAATCCGTTTGAGATACCAACTTATGCCCGCTTGGTACACTGCCTTCCACGAAGCCTCGGTCAACGGAACGCCAATCGTGCGGCCTCAGTACTACATGTTCCCAGAGGATGAGCAAGGCTTTGCCATCGATGATCAGCTGTACCTTGCTTCAACGGGTATTCTCGTGAAGCCTGTCGTGCATGAGAACACTCAACATGCTGAGGTGTACATCTCCGACGACGAGAAGTACTATGACTACTTCGATTTCACTGTCTACCAGGGCGCGGGCAAGAAGCACACTGTCCCTGCGCCAGAGGATAAGGTACCTGTATTGATCCAGGGTGGTCACATTATTCCCCGCAAGGACCGTCCTCGTCGTAGCACCGGCCTTATGCGATGGGATCCATATACACTCGTCATTACACTGGACAAGAATAGCGAGGCGGAAGGCACTCTGTACGTGGATGATGGCGAAACGTTTGACTACGAGCGTGGGGCCTACATTCACCGCCGCTTCAACTACCGCGAATCGGTTTTGTCCTCGGAGGACATTGGAACCAAAGGACCCAAGACTGCTGAGTACCTCAAGACCATGGCGGGTGTGACAGTCGAGCGGGTGGTGGTGGTTGATCCTCCCACCGAATGGAAGGTTAAGGATACCGTGACTGTCATTGAAGATGGAGCCAAGTCCGGCTCTAAGGCCTCCTTGGAGTTCTACGAGCAGGAAGGGGGTAAGGCATCCTATGCTGTGGTGAAGAAGCCGAATGTTGGCATTGGAAAGGCATGGCGGATCGAGTTCTGAGCGATATATTTCATTTCTCCCAAGTACATGTATGCAATATTCACACCATTGGAAGTTGATAGGCCTGCATGTTATGGTTTTTCAAAGTTGGTTCTTTATGTAAAACTTTTGCTAGGAAGGAAACAGTCCCTTCATAAACGCCGGCCATATCGGTGCTTAA